TTGTGGTTAGCGGCCTTCGAAAAAGACTTTCCGGAATCGCACTGTCGTCCCTCCACGCGCTGATATGAAAGCACCCGAGCTTCTACCACGTGGTTCATGACACAGCCTGAGCCATGTCGGCGACCGGTTCGCGAGGGGTTGGCGGTGGGGTTACGTTGATGGTCACTCGGATTAGCCCTTGCTGTACTGAGCTACCGCCTGCAGTGCCTTATCGCCGGCTGGTGTCAACAACGAGAACACACAGACCCTGTCTACACCAAAACTACAAGCGTTCACCGCACACGCGTCGCCGCCGCTTTTAAGCTTTTGTGAAATTGCTTTCTTTTGCCGCGGAGAACCGCCTTACCTTAACTACGCGCCTGAAATCCTTCCAGGTGGGCGTACACAATATCAAGCGTTTCGAGAAATGCCCGTGGAGTAGAACTATGGGAAAATTCGGAGCCCGCGATGTCGATATCGTCGCCGTTGTGTTAGTACGCCGTCGCGTACTGCGGTCCCCCGTTGGGGGAGGGGGGGGGGGGTGCGGTCTTACTACGATAACATGGCGACAGCGTTTACACTCTATGTATTTACGCGAGGCTCGAGTATTTGGGGATAATGCTGCCGGTTGGTGTGCCCCTTTGTGCCTGATATTATCGCCCGTGACGCCAGCGAGTGAGATGGCGACAGGCATGACTGCTCAGTAAACAGGCGTCGGCGGCCATGTTTTGCTGGTTGAAGCGAACCCCCTTGTCCTTGACAGCGAGCGGGGAAATGCGAAAAAAAGATTGTATCGGCCGTTTTGCCAGAACTAGCGACGAGTGTCGTCTGCGGTTTCCGGCAACTATTTTGCCATAATCGTGAGCTTAGCGAGGAAATGATTTTTGCTGGCCACAGAACACTACCACGCAGAAAGGGAATGCTTGAACATGTTTTTGTTCTGGATATATATCAGGGATATATATGAGAGAGAGAGAGAGAGAGATGAAGGTAGAGCGGAAGAGGGAATAGCATATAGTGTCGCAGGAGAATAAAGTAAACAAAGTTCCTAGTGGCCGATGGCTGCATGATCTTTTCTCGGATCACTAGTCCGTAATATGATACCCCTTTGTACACAGTAGTTTCTCCTTAATTTAAGTGTGTGAACGATTTCTTTAGTTATCATTGGCCTCATCTGAATAAAAATATATAAAAGATGTGTGTTGGTTTCATGAAACTGGAACTCAGAGTCAGTTCTTGTATAAAACCCTGCTAAGTGTAGACTTTGAAAAAGGACCCTACTTTGGGGAGTTGTATCTTCTTTCTCAATAAAATGATGCAACATGTTTTTAATGAAAATGAATGCCAAAATAGAGTATAACAGGTTACCTAAATTTAAAAAAAATCGAGGGTGGTGTTTTTTTTTTTATTCGCATCGGAATTTTTTTTTGTTTGATTTTTTTCCACGTTTGACTAAATATATCCTAACTATTGTATCACACAGATACCTTAGTTATTTTTTTAAATATTAGCTATATATTAGTAGAATAATATCTGCAAATTATATCATAATGATTAAATTATTTCATGAGATACAGACCTCCAAAGTTTGCCATTTGTCGTTCGAGCAGGCATGTTTGTCAATTTTTAGAAAAATAAATAAATTTTAAATAAATATGATTACTTTATATTACAAGCAAGCTATACCCATAGTTTGCGCCTAAAACGTATTAGAGTTCTCCTAATGTTATCGCTTTAGTTATTCACTCTCAAACGGGCCCCCTCCATCAGTGCGCGTTAATGCAACTGTCCACCACCTCATGCATTACGATTTTTCCTGTCCCCGAGTATTTTTTCTAGTCAAAACTAAGTTTGGATTCGTTCATACCAGACACTAGACAATAACATATAAAAACATCAGTTGATTTGAAAATGTCGACTAGCCATCCTTTGGTCGATCTTATCTGAAATCACCCAACATTAAATAACCACTTGAGCACTAATCAAATTTGATTCACATACTCATTCATTTATTTATTTACAAAGAAACCTGCATCACTATGAGGCATTATTGTAGTTTTTTTTTTATTTTATTGCATAGATAGTTTTAACTGTTAAGAGCAGGATATTTTTGCAAACTTTAAAGCAGGTACTGTTGGGAAAAAGGTGCCATTCTGAATGAGGTACACAATGAAAACTTCTTGTGCACGTAGACTATGTGGCTATGTTATTGTCATAAGTAAATGTTTAAAGTTCTCTTAAAGAGGTGCTCAGAATCATCAAAAGTATTTGTAACCTAAAACATGCAACCATATTTCAATTGGATTTATTGAATTCCAGGTATGTGCTTTTTGAATACAACATAATTGTTATAATGCTTTTATGTTTATACTAGTAGTATAGTGGGTAGTAAATTGAGATATAAAAAGTGGAGGAGCTTCAGTGTAGCATTGTTATAACAAAGACTTTCCTGAAAACAAGACACGCTCATCTTTTTGTATCTTGCTGCACTTAAACAGTCAGCCCCAGTGAACCTGGAGATTATAGGGAAGTATTACAAAATATTTTATATTTTGAAAGTCTATTTTGCATATTGCAATGTGTTACCTAACAAAACCAATTTTGGGGGGCTTGTTAAAAGTGAGTTTTATAGTTAACATCACACAAATTAATTTTTTATGTGAAAGTTGCTTTTGGGATGCTCATGTTCCTTGAATAGCTTGTGTGTTTTTAAATGCTATATGACTAACTTCTGCATTCTTGGTATGCATTGAATCATGCTACTGTAGAGAAAATGATTGAACCTAATGCTGTAAAGGTGCCAGTAAAGCAATTAATACTCTAATCCATGCATGAAGCTTGTGCACAATTGCAGCATCATCTCATAACTTTTTGTTTATTTGAGTGTGAAAAGAAGAACAACCTCGAATGAGAAATACATGGCTCTTACTATTACGGAAAAGGATTTTGAAGGGTCTGCCAAATGATTTTCAGGCTTTGTCCTACATTACGACAAACCTCTAATGTTGACACTTCTCAACATCATTGAACAATCCGCCATATCACGTTTCTACGCACAGCTTTTTAATGAGTAACAAAGCAAGGTGGCCTCTGCAAGGTCACAAGAAAAGAAGAGTTGAAGATATGTTTGCTTTCCAAGACACTAGCTGCACGACAATAGTTTCAGAACAGGAAATGTATGCCACAATCGTGACCGGTTCTGCAGACGGTCACGAGTGTGGCCGGGATCCCAGATAGCTGCGGCATGTCCCAATCTGACAAAGTTGTAGTGTGGAATATTAACAAAAGGAAATTAGCCAGGAACAGTAACTATAGTTTGGTAAGCTAAAATAGAATGTAGAACATTTTTTAGGCCGGTTTTGCCGTTGGGGGTGTGAGCATTTGTATGCGGTTGACACATACTTTCTAGTGTTTGTTATTGACCTCAGTGTTCTTTGGACTAGCTAATTTCGCACTAGGATGGAACACAAGCAAGAGTGTGTGGCAGGGAGGTAGACAACTGTTTGATTGCAACAATTGATATAGCCTACCGTGGCCCATGGCATGGTCAGGTGACAAGCGCTCAGTCTAGTAGAAATCAGTCAGGTCGGGAACATCAGCCACGCTTTTAGGGGGAAACGGTGCCCACATAAAAATCATTTGCATTCTTTTATAATTCTTGAAGCGCATAATATGGCAGTAGCTTCTTTTAAAGATGAGGTCACATACCCTTCGAGTGGATTTAAATATAGGAACTTGATGGTTGAGCCAACACTCAACGTCGGCAATGCTAGCCAGTTTCGCAGATGCAGAATGCTATGGCACTTACTAAAGTTTGTATGACTTTAGCGTCCATTTGAGGCATGCAGCATAGAGCAGGAGTTCTCAAACTGGGTTCCGGGGAACACAGGGGTTCCACGAGCTGGTCTCATAAGTTCCGCGAACACCCAAATTGCAACCCCCCCCCCCCCCATGCCGGAGGCTGCGCGGCTGGACCATGCAAAGCGCCTTCATCTCACTTTGTACTGACATCGCGATTGATATGGTGGGGATATATGGGAAGCAACACAAGCAAAATTGCCTACAATTGTGCATCTGTTGCCTCTCGGTCGGCAAGTATGGAGGGGAGAGGGGGGGGGGGGGGGTTTGCGGCAGTTTTTGAGGCTTCCTGGGGTTCCGTGAGGCCAAAAAGTTTAAGAACTTCTGGCATAGAGGATATCTTTTCGTGAACTTTCTCACATCTGGTCTTAGGAGCATGCTTATTTAAAAAAAAGAGTTTTGACATGAGTGTTTAGATACATTGAGGGAATAGCAAACAAATGACACTCAGTGTGACCTTGTTCTATTCGCATCATCATTGTTGGTTTTTGATGTAGGATAAAATGGAAGCATCTAATTTTTTTAAAGGAAAGTAATAATGAACTTTTAAAAGGTGGCATCATTACTTATCAAGGACTTCAAAATAACTCAATCAGTACATATTGGTTTGAAAATCACTTTGTGGACCCTTTATCGCCCAATGGTACCTATATTCCTTCCCTGTTTACAAGTTCTCACAGGCAAATCAGACGAGATTAGCACCTAATCTTGAAGTGTGCGCACATTGGACGCAGACAACGGCAAAGCACACGCAGTGGAATAGCAGTCGAGAATTGTTGATTCTATGAGTAGCGTGATCAAATTGTAGTGTTGATGTCAACGTCAGTGCTACAATTTGAACAAACTGCCCTACACCACTTTCATTTCTGGTGGCAATGATGTAGCAGTAACTTATCCTTTAGGACAAATTCGTTGGCTGCATATTTACAAGACAAAACGAGGTTCCCATCCGTTAACTGCTCTTACTACCAGATAAATAATGAGGAAATGGGTTTTGCAACGATGCATGGGGGAAGTGGGGGGGGGGGGGGGGCATCTTCTCTTTGATTGTGTGCAACCTTTTTTCTGTCTTTGTTTGCCCCTGTCCCGGTCGTTAATCGTAACTTATTATTTAACAACCGTTTGTTTCCCCCTCCCTTCTTTTCCGTTGCCTTGTTTTTCAGACCCGGCCCATAGTAATGGTCCATGTGAGTATGCCAATGTGGGCTTTATGTTCATTTCAACATTTTCTTTTTTTGTTGCAGTTTCCTCGTTTTTTTTGTTTGTGTTTACGTTGTGCCGATGGTGTCCCCTTTATGTTTCCCTGTGTTTGTTTGGCACACCATAAGCAGTGCTCATTAGTTTCTTTTTTAACATATTGAGGTATTTAGCACACAAGGTAGAGAGAAGAAGAAGGACAGGACAGAAAAGAGCGCTACTCACAACTACGTTTACTGATAAGAAGGGAAGAGAAAGAATCCGCCGCGGACTTGTGCATCTGCCACAGCACCGTGAATGATAGCGGCTAGTTCATCCAGGCTCGTGCGGGCCCTTCATTGTTTGTTGCACCATTACTCCTTTCCATATTCCCCTATACTTCGTTTCAGCCTCCGTCCGAGCACAGCCAAAGCTACGTGTGGCCAGAGCCAATCAGACGCCGGCAATAGGTCACGCGATCCCACCTACACCTTTGTATCACTCCGCTGCGCCGCTGGTCGTCCGCGCCGCCCGCGCCCGCCAAGTATTTCGTCTGCTACGGGTGGTATCGTCTGCTACAGGTTTAAAAAATGCCCTTTCACGTTCTGAAATTTAGTCACAGGGGATGTCAGTACGTAGGCTGGCCGCTGCCGTCTGTGTCCGAGTTTTCCACCTGTTCGGCATAGTTTGAAGATGTAAGTACAGGTTGCAAGGTGCCCGATGACCCGGCCGTTGGTGTTTCCTTGTATTGTATGGATATACCAGGCCTCGAGGCGCAGTCCTTTTCACTTCACCAGCTTCTCGGCGTTCAATGTGATCGGCAGGTAAAGGGGTGCCCTGAGTTCGCTGCGTATCAGTGAATTGTAGTGGCCCGGACGCTTTTCTTGTTTACAACGCATTCGCGGTACGATGCGGCCGGAGTCTCCTGCCGAATTCGAAAGCAGACATTCATCACGACCTCTCGCGCCTGACGCCCAAACATACCTTTCCGAAAGGATGTTTTGAAGCAACGCGGTGAGGAAGGCAGCGAAGCACATGATTCGGCCATTACGGGAACGAAATCACACAGAAAAACTGAGCGCTGCAGCCGTGTTGCCAGCGGATGTATGTGCTTTCACCAAACCACATGCATTTACATATATTAATAAAAACATAAACTTCAGATATTTAATTCCTTTAGTTGGAAATAATTATCAGCAGTAGATATCTGGAATATTGTGCACTGTTTACGCACAAAACAGTTATTTAGAAAAAAAAACTTTTGCGGGCTACTTTGTGGTGCGTAGGAATGCTCTTCTCGAAGTTGCGAACTGTCCCTCAGCCTTTGGCTGCGCTCGGACGGAAGCTGAAACGAAGTATGGCAACTTCATACCTATTGTAATTTTATTGTGCCCTATGCTTTATAATGTGATTACTTCGTGCCCAGACGATGCTGCCTCACAATGGGCAGCATCGTCTGCTGCTCATTGTTGGCGACTGCTCGGTTGCGGCAGCAAAGTGTGGCGGTCTGCAACTTGGTAAACTTTGTGAGTTTGAATATTTTTAAAATTATCACAAACTTTCTCATCACTATAACTGCAGGAGCCACTCTATCTCTTCGCTAAAGATAGACACAAATACCTTCAAAAAGTGCAAATGGGAATGAAAATCATAATCTCTTTGTTATAGCCGCTATTACAGCGGAGCTGTCAAGGGCTAGGTTCCCCAGGATCGTGTCTACCAGCAAAAAAAATGATGACACCGAACTCTGGACAGCTACCGCCATCTATGAGTGACAGCGGCAACCAGACAATTGGTTGCCGCTGTCGCTTATAGATGGCGGCAACCTTTCTTCGGAGGAAGAAGAACGGGAGCGGAACGAGCTGCGATGTGCGCAGCAGCGTGAAAGGTTCCGCAACCGCCACGACGCCGCTATCGGCTTAATTTCCACTGCGTCGAGCGCTTGAGATTCCCTTGCGAAAGAAGAGCAGATAGCTCGCCTGGAAAGCCACCGTCAAAAACAGAAGCTACAGCTCCACTGCTCTTCCTTCTTCACCAGAGTGGAAAGGCTGAAAGTTTTTCATTATAACCGACTTCGTTATAAGCAAGCGAGACAGTACCTGATAGGCCGACTTACCTTATGCTGTCTTAACACAAGCATCTAGTTTCCTTATTGCTTCGAATAAACAAGCAATTGCCCTTTTTTTTCAGTATCATTGTTATGTTTTAAAGCTCTTCGTCAAAGCATTTAGGGTGGTGGAAAGTTTTGATCTGGGGAATCCACCTAAGCTGTAAAATTTGATGCTTGTCAGTAGCTTGTCTGAGTTAGAAGCAAAAAGTGATGATGTTCCGCTCGTATTAACTGTGTCGCACATTGTACAACCTTGATTTTCTGCAAGGCAGAAGCTTTCCCGAGTATCCTTCTCCTCTGACATTGCCAAATTAGCAACAGAAAGTAATTTACCAACAAAGAATGACATACTTTTGTGTGCTCTTGGCTTTAAGGGTAGGGGATCAGAGGCTGGGGAGCAGGTACAAAGAGGGAAGTGTCCTCAATTGTCCTGCAAAGGTTCTAGCATTAGAAGCAACCCCGTGTCGCATCGGTAACAGCTGCACACTTGTGAAGGCTTCAAGAGACCTGAAGATGTTACATAGATGGAGGTAAAAGAGCATGTTAGTATAATACTAGGAGGTGGAGTTTTATTTATGGAATAACAGACTTCATTGAAGGCGTATTGTCTTCATCTGAAGATGTCTTTATCCAAAGATGTTCAAAGTTCCTGACATCATTCAGATATCCTTATGAAGACATGTGGATGATCCTAGCAGAGGAAATCTGAATGATCTTAGCAGAGGACATCTGATGAAGATGTCCAAAGATCTGGACATCTTTATTCAGATGTGAAGAAAGGTAAAAACGCAGGCGAGCTGGTGAATGACATCCGTAGTAACCCTGAGACGTAGGAACAATAAAAAAATGGACAGAACAACTAAGAAGCTGTGTTAGAGACTTTGTTGTTCTGTCCGTTTTTACAGCGAAGCTGTTATGCACTAGGATCTGGGAAAAATGTGTCCACGATTGTTGACTGAAAACTCCCCTTGGTCGTGGCAAGTATGAATAAATAAAAAAAGAAAGAGGAAGCAACCTGCATGAGTTAGCCTTCCTTTTCATTATTAGATAGTGAGGTCCTGATCCTTTGTTATCATCTCTAGGCATCGTCCTCAAGGTCATTCTAGAAGTCGTCCATGAAATCATCCTAGAGGTGATCCTAGGCGTTGTCCTTGAGGTCGTCCTAGGCGTCGTCCTTGAGGTAGTCCTAAGCGTCGTCCTTGAGGTCGTCTTCTAAGTATTGTCTTCGGGTCATCCTAGAAGTCGTTCTTGAGGTCATCTTTGAGGTCGTCTTTGTGGTCGTCCTCTAGGCGTTGTCCTCGAGGTCATCCTCGAAGTTGTCCTAGAAGTCGTCCTTGAGGTCATCCTAGACGTCGTAAAAAAACAGCTTCTCTGGTCTTCCATCTTCATGTGAAGTCGAAGGGCTCTACAAATTTTTTTTATGGTTCTTACATCTCGCAGTTACAATGGACATTATTCAGATGTCATTGCACAGGACATCTGGATGATCCTAGCAGAGGGTATCCAGATTCTAACTAAGAATATCTGGATGAGCTCTGCAAGGACATCTGGGCACCTTTGAATTAAGGTGTTTCTGACATTTTCAGGACATATGAATGATCTTAGCAAAGGACATCTGAATGATCTTAGGAGAGAATGTCTGAATAATCCTTATAGAGGACATCCAGATGAAGACCTTTAAAATGCTGGACATCTTCATTCTCGGAGGACAACCAGATGTTCCTCGCAAGGGCATCTGGACACCTTTGCATGGCGCTGTCTTTATCCAGTCTACAGCTGAAGACTGAACATGTCTTCATTTGAGGACGCACCTGTTCTCAGATGAGAACCGCGGGTATGATGGGATTGAACTGCCGAATGAGAACCGCGGGTATGATGGGATTGAACTGCCGAACCCTTGCTGCCACATAAGGTCTTCCATCCTCCTCCCAGGTGTCGTTTACGTCGTAGAGCAGCTGGACTACGAGACCCACCAGAAGTACCAGCTTACCCTTCGGGCCACGGACTCTGTTACCGGAGCCTTCTCCGACGTCCTCGTGGGCATCACGGTCGAGGACGTCAACGATTTCCCGCCCATGTTCAGTCAGCCCTCATACAACACCAGTGTTTCAGAGGCGACTCCGTACACGACGTCCATCCTCAAGGTAAGACATATTTAGAAAGCTGCAGTAACCGTAATGATCAATGTCGCGTCAAGAAAAGAAAAACAAAGAAACCAAGGTTTACGCATGGCATATGTGCAGTGCAAAGTAGTTTTTACAAGATTTGGTTGTCAGATTAAAGAAACGAGGCCTTTTGCGTTTGAAACCTCTGCATTTTGATCAAACAAGAAATTTCTGATCTGGAGTGCACATGCGAGTATCTTAATTCACCTCTTGAAGAGGAAAATTGGTAAAGCGTTGTGAAGAGCCGTAACTTTTTCTAGTAAGATTTTGGAAGCGAAGATGAGCATTTAGTGGTTGGTACTTAGATAAACGCATGGACATGAAAAAAAACTTTTCCCCCTTAAAACAAACATTTTTTGGTGCATTATTTTTTTTACGAACCCTGTGGTGGTGATTGATTGGTGATAGGTTGGTGGCGATTCTGAAACATATGGTTCTACTTTGGCGCATTGTCTTGAAATAGAAGCACGGACTATAATCATGTCAAGGTACATAAAATGAGCCTCGTGGCTTTGGAGAGGAGGAGACTAGAGCATTCGGGAACAGCGAGTAGGGACAAAGGTACGGAGCACGGCCACGGACGCGGGCTCCCCCTGCCGCCCGTCTACCCACGAACCATCCCAACCGGAGCTCGGTGCTCCGATGTCCCTGTCCGCTCTCCGTCTCCTCCTCTTTCTCAATTTCTATCTTTTTAGAGATAAACATTTTTTTTCTTTAATTGGCAACAAATGTGTTTTATTCAAGCACTAAAAAAATTTTTTTTTTTTTAAATATAGTGTTTTAGAGCGCAGGTCTTAGGTGCCTGTTTCCGGTTTGAGCGGCATCGCCGTCGCCGTAACCGCGCGTTGCATTATGGAAAGTTTCTCATAATAACGTCACAACGTCATAATAACGTTACCCTCGTGAGGGTTACGAGGGTTACTCTCACAAAGGTTACGAGGGTTACCCTCACAAGGGTTACCCTCATGAGGGTCACGAGCGTTACCCTCACGAGGGTTGCGAGGGTTAGTTACCCTCAAAAGGGTTACCCTCACGTCACCCCCCTGAGGTCACTTGACCCCTCCCTGAGGTCACGTAACCCACCCTCAGGTCATGTGACCTCAGGGAGTCACTTATCCCTCAGTACCCTTCCATCCTCCTCCTCGAGAGCTGCGCTCTAATCCGGCATTGCAGGGAGTTGTAAACGGCTTTCATTTTTTTAAACAAATTTAGCACTAAAACCGAGAAACACAGCTTTGAGACTGCCCTTAACACCGCAGGTGCACGCCAGCGACAGGGACACGGGCGCCAATGCGCGTGTCCAGTACAGCCTGGAGGCTTCTGCCCTGTCCACGTTCCACATCGACCCGGTGGAGGGGGTCATCGACCTGCGCATTCCGCTGGACCACGAGGCGCAGCCTTTGTACCACCTGGTGGTGACGGCCACGGACGCGGGCTCCCCCTCGGCGCTCAGCTCGACCGCCCACGTGTGGGTGACGGTGCTGGACATGAACGACAACCCACCAGCCTTCCCGCAGCTGTCCTACAGCTGCGCAGTGAGCGAGCTGGCCCCCAGGGGGCAGTTCGTGATGAGGGTGGCGGCCTCGGACCCGGACTCTTCGGACCGGGACCGCCTGGCCTACTCCATCGTGGGTGGCAACGAGGCGCAGGCCTTCGCCATTGACCGCAAGACCGGTGAGCCACCCCGGGCTTCTGTTTACGCGGTGTCCACCAGTCCGGAAGACCGGGAGTCGTATGGGAATTGGACGGGTCCGGAAAAATGGGGAAATTTCATTTTATTTCATTTAATTTCTTTTACCTCGAAGGCACGCATTACATGCATGCGTTATATGTGAGGGTGAGAGCAAAAAATTTGGAGAAGTCAGCCAGCAACCAAAAGTCAACCTCAACCAGCATTCTGAAATTACAAAATCTGGTCCGAACCGCTAGCATTGTGTTTAGATGGAGCCTAAGCTTTCAGCGAAAGGTCCATTTTTGCGCTAAAAAAAAAAGCACTGAATTTTTTTTAGGATGTGTCCTTACTTACGCCCTTTGCGAAATGTGAGTACTGATGCAGCAGTTGCGTGGTGCAAACATGATCCCCCAACCGGCTCATTCCATGCCTATGCTTCGTTTACCGCCGAGCTGACAGTGTGGTGGAAGCTACAGGCTCGCCCAAGCAACCAACCGCTCTCTTGTCACCGCCTGACTATACTATCTGTGCATGGATACCATGTGCAGAGAATGCACTAAAAGTAAGCGCTGACATCAGTGGTCCAGAGAGAAAGAACGAGAAAGGGAGTGCCAGAAAAAAGGGGAAAGAAAGCGGACGAAAGATTAAGTGTGCTCGGTCGGCTGCTACAAGTTGAGTTGTTTGAGTCCTTGATATAATCTTTTTTTTACAATGCACGACACCGGTGTTTTTATGCAAAATAAAGCTAGAAAACAACTAGGTGCAGACCTTCAGAGTGATGTTTTGTGGCTTCTTTGTTTGTTTTAAAGAGGTACTGCAATGGAAATTCTAGCGCCTATTTTATCCTCTAAATGTCAGCAACACTCAGGCCACACCACGGAGATGCCAAATTTTTGCTCGAAAAGACACTGAAATGTTATTTAATAGTTATAAACGGAACGTTGTTATGTCATTCTGAACCTAAAATGTGGCGCAGCTCCGCAAAAGTATGGCAGCAAGCTGCGTGCGCGCGAGCCCTGTTGAACCTGGCCGAACCGGATTTCCCTTTTCTCTCACGCCTGTTCAACTCCTGCGGGGAGCAGGGAGGGGCAACTGAAACGGCCCGGTTTTAATGCGTCTCAGGAGCTCCCGAGAGGCCTCACGTTCTTGACGTCACATTTTCATTTCTGGCATGGTTGTGAGCATCGCCACTGGGTGGCGTCAGCGCATTACAACCTGGTCGTTTCAGTTGCCCCTCCCTGCTCCCCGCAAAAGTTGAATATGTGCGAAAGAGAAGGTCCGGTTCAGCCAAGTTCAAAAGGGCCCGCGTGCGTGCAGCTTGCCGCCATACTTTTGCAGCAAGCTGCATGCGAGCTGCAAGCTACCCTAATTGGCATCAGTCGAGGAAGTTCAGCTTCCGTTTCTCTGCGTACGCTATGCTTCCGGTGCGGCAAAAATCCACAAGAAGGTGGTGGACTCTTTCTCCTGGACTCACTTGGTGAACCCCCCGCGCAGGCATCGTGACACTGTCCAACCTGCACCAGTTCCCGCAGCAGCCAACGTACCTGCTAAACGTGTCGGTGACGGACGGCGTCTACCTGAGCCACGCCAAGGTGAAGGTGGCAGTGCTACCCTCCAACCGCCACTCGCCGGCCTTTACGCACACCGTGTACGAGGCCGCCCTGCCCGAGAACCGGGATGCCGGCTTCCCCGTGGCCACGGTCACCGCCACCGACAAGGACCGTGGCCATTTCGGGCACGTCACCTACGCCATCCGCAGCGACGACTGCGCCACGCACTTCAGGATAGACAATGCCACGGGTCTGTACTCTTTCGGGTTCTCGCTGGGAAAAGCTATGATTGAGATTATGTTTTTGCGGGGCTTGTTTGTCTTCAAATCTCAGGATGATTTCTAGGAGATCCTTTTTTTGCTGGTTTGGTGTCTTTTATCTTAGTTTTGTTTTTCTTTATCTTAGGTAAGCCATTTTTGTTTAGGTTATCTTAGGTTGGGCACTTTTAACATAGAGGGTGTTTGTGCCACTTAACGGCTGCTATGGCGAGGGAGAAAAAAAATTCCAAGGACACCTAAGCACTTTTTATGAGTTGTGAATTGGAAAGCATGAATGTCGCTCTTGCGCTCCCTTAGCTTGTCTGCAGTGTAGTGGCATGAATGGCCATGTTTCGCTACTGCCGAGGTTGCGGCCACCGACGATATAGACGCCTCAGGCTCAGGTGCTGCCATGTTTCCTCGGCACCAAGATGAGCACTGCACTTCACACAGGCCAGTTAGAACACAACATTTTGGGTCGAATATTGGATATCCCGTACAGCTTTATTATTTGGCGCAGTATGGCCATAGTAGCTTTGCGCCATGAAGCCCGTAATCAACAACAACCGTACAGCTTTATTTCTTTATTCGTTCGAAACATAAATTTAACACCTACTGTCTTAATGAAACTTGGCACACTTAGTGCACAAACTTAGTGAACATCTCACTCGCCTCCAAATATCATTGTCCAAGCATTCCTACTGTTCTAGCGACAAGCGAAACAAATTTTCTTTTGAGGCAGTGGTGAACACACTTTCCTTTAGTGAACATCTCACTCGCCTCCAAATATCCTCGTCCCAGTAGTTCTACGTTTACAACGACGAGCCAAACAAATTTTCCACTGAGAGCAGTTATGGTGGCGGCCATCTTGCTTTTCAGAAAATTGCTCCAACCCCTATTTTGACCACAGCTAGAGAAATGACCCCTATTAACGACTCAATCAATATATGAAGTGGAGAACAGCTAGATGCCCTTCTTAGGTCTGCCCCAGCCCTCATCGCAATATCACCCTCAACATATCGGCTCAAAAAGCAAAAGTTCTGTCCGTGCGCGCTTCTGCCGCCACAGCTTCAAATGCGAAAAGGTGCCGCAGGCTCCTGAACATGAACACGCCTCACCAGCCGAGTGCAGCTGTAGCCTCCACCGTGGTAAGGAGAAACTAGCGCCACGAGGCGCTAGTGGCAGAAAGGCGAACGTACATACGGTCGGAGACAAAAATTGGTCTCGAAAGACTGCCAGATGGCGCCACCACTGTCAAAAGCGTGCGCGCGTGCGCCTTCCTCGTCTCCTCCCCCTCCCCCCGTTCCCCCTCCCCCCGCTTTTTTTTTTCTAGTTTGTTTGCTAGATTGGTGCCGCGCCGGCCGCTGTGAGCGGCCAGCACGGCACCAGTCTAGCAGATGAGCCGCGCGCGATATACTTCACAACAACTGCGCTTCGCGTGATATTACCAGCGCAATAAAATAGAAACAGCACATTCGTTGAAATGTATTTTTTATTGAACCCCATTCAAATGAGTTGCGGTATTTTAAACACGCAAGGAGAACCAAGAACTGTAGTAGGCAGTAAACGCAGTAAAAGTTGTCAAATATGTAAAACAAAATTAATTACTTTAATGTACAAGCTAAAAGAAAAGCACTTATCATTGAATGATCTAAATGGCTCTATAAACAGCTCCCACAAACGAAACTTCTGAATACCCAAACAAACAAATCAACACCAAAATAAAGCGGAAGGCTTGCAGGTGAGCTGCATAAGAATAAACGATAAATAAACTATAAACAAACTCGCTAATAGGCAATGCAATTAAGCAAGAAAGAAAACAACTACTGTTTTGGAGTGACTACATCTCTGACTGTAGGTGCTTTATCGGTACTCTATCCTAAGATATAAACGCGAAGCTGTCAAATTAACTGAAGATTGCTCTGACAGCAACTCACCTGGAGGAACAAGTCCTTGCAGCAACGGATTCGTAACAAGAATGGTGGGGCACGCGTTTTTCCACAAACGAATCTTCCTACAGCTTGCAAACGCGGTAGCGCCCAAGTGCTCGCTGCACAAACGACGCTGGCGCATCTTGCTCGTCAGCAAGCTGGGCAGGCAGGCTTCCAAAGTCCTGGCGATTTACATACGCAATCCATTTCGATGCTCTAATTGAAAGATCGAGTTTCGAACGCTGACCAAAAAAAAAGTTAATATAGAGGTTTAGCTGTCGTCTGTTGGAACCGGAAGAATGGGCACTCCGAGTTCTTTTGAAGAATTGTTACACCACTTCACCGTGCTGTAGACTCGGTAATACGCCGTTATGAGGCACGCAACACACTCGGCAGAATCTCTGTCAAATTAGAGATGTACATCTATAATTATTATAACCGCGCAGCAGCGTTGCACCGTACTGCCGTAAAATCCGCACTTTCGATTTCAACACACGCGGAACGGTTTGAAAGCTTAGAGTGACGAGCAAGCGCAAACAAAACAAAAAAGACAAAAACGGTCGTTTCCCTTCGCTCTTACTGATTGGTCGGAAAATCCCAGAGTGCTTCGCTTTCGGTAGCGAAGACCATATACACGTCGCCAGCGCTCAAAAACGTAGCGGCGAATATGAGCATAACAGTCTGGTCGGAGTCGGCTGGGCAGACCTACGAATCTGCTCTTTGGATGGACGTACGAGAGAGAAGCCAGCGACGCGGCGCCCCTATCGGCCCAACCGGGAACTCCGTTAGCTGCATTCGGCTGGCCTCACTGTGAAACGCCACCTCCTCCGCTAGCGGCGCTACACGCGTTTTTCAGAGCGACCCCTATAGTTCCCGCACAAAGCGTATAAGTAAATTTCTGGAGGTACTGCAGTTAGTCCTCGACTGTGAGACTATTAAAGTATGGGCAACTCACTGAGGGCTTTAAAAACAGGCAAAAACAATAGCCGACCAGTAGCATACACCCCTTGAAAGTTCAGCCACTATTTGTTTTGGTTTACCTCCGCACACCCTGTATAGGCTACTTTAACCAACTTAATCTAAGAGCACGTTTTAACATTTGTATTGATTATTTTAGAGAGGTTTGTATATTTAGTATGCATGAATCTGGAAAATGTTTTTACAGCGAAGCTGTTATACGCTGGGGTCTGGGAAAAAATGGGTCCTCACGTGTCGACAACAAACTCCCCATTGGTTGTGGCAAATATGAATAAATAAAAACAAAAAGAGAAGTCAACTATGAATAAATGAAAACAAAAAGAGGGGGCAACCAGCGTGAGTCAGCCTTCCCTGGCATTATGAGATAGTGAGGTCCTGATCTCTTGTTATCATCTCTAGGCATCGTCCTCGAGGTCATCCTCAAAGTCGTCCTTGAGGTCGTTTGAGAGGTCGTCCTCTAGGAGTCGTCCTCTAGGAGTCACCCTCAAGGTCGTCCTATAAGTCGTCCTTGAGGTCGTCCTCGAGGTCGTCCTCGAGGTCATCCTAGAAGTCTTCCTTGGGGTTGTCCTAGACGTCGTCCTCGAGGTCCTCCTAGAAGTCGTCTTAGAGGTCGTCCTAGGTGTCATCTTTGAGCTCATCCTAGAAGTCATCCTTGATGTCGTCCTAGACGTCGTCTTCTCGGCGTCATCCTCGAGGTTGTCCTAGAAGTCGTCCTTGATGTCGTCCTTGATGTCGTCCTCTAGGCATCATCCTAGACGTCATGAAGATAACAGCTTCACTGGTCCTCCATCTTCACGTGAAGTGGAAGGGCTCTACAATTTTTTTTCTCTGTGTGTATCTATGTAGTATGTCTATTTTTGTTTTCTACAACTTTGTGTACTTGCTGCATCTAACGGGGACAGAGGCATAAGTGCCTTTTGTCTCTAGCTCCAGACCAGGCTTGGCCCGTGAAGATCCAAATAAACTTGAGATCACTTCAGTCTGACGTTGGGTTTTCTTCACTAAGTTCATCTTAGATCAGGTTATTTGAACTCATGTCAGGTATCTTAGGTTATCTTAGTTCAGGCCATTTTAGGTTAGGTTATTTTATCGTAGGCTTGGTCACAGTACCTTAGGTTATCTTGGGTTAAATTAGATTATCTTAGGTTCAATTGTCTTAGGCTTTTCTATCACATGTTTCTTAGTTTGGTTAGCTTAGGTTGTGGTTATCTTGGATTCCTTTAGGCTACCTTAATTTAGACTATTTTGGGTGGACTAAAGCACAGCGAGCTGAGAGAAGGTGCTCCTTGCACAGGTGAGATCTTCACGACCAAGCCCCTGGACCGGGAAAGCAGGCACCTGTACCTGATCCCGGTGTCTGCAACAGACGGGGGTGGCCGCCTCGCCTTCACCATGGTCCGGGTGACCGTGACAGACGTCAACGACAATGAGCCCCAGTTTGCTGTCTCTGAGTACCGGGTGAACATCCAGGTCAACACCACCGTGGGCACCACCATACTCAAGGCGGGTGCCTCCCAAAGCATTTTAGGGGCGAAGCTCCTTAGGGTCTAGCCTTGTCCACATGTCCGGCATCCGTGCTCACATCGGTTGCCATCCCATCTGTCTGTCATGGATGAAACGTTGCATGTAGCCGCTCAACGTCTATACAGGAGAGGGCGCTGCGGTCAAATACGTATAGAATCGCGTTAAACTTTGCATGCATTGGTTCAACGTTTATAGACGATAGGGCGCTGCGGTCAAATGCTCAAATGCATATATAACCACGTTCCATACCACACATTCTCTTTCCGACATGGACCGTTGACTTAAGCAGTGGAGATGCGTTCCCACGGCTTCTAGAGGATCCAAGCTGATCTGCTAGTAGAACCACTGGCTCTGCATTTCACCGACCCTAAAGCAGTAATAATGAAGTTGAAACGCAACCCGGAACTCAGCACTACCTATGAGCAATAAAAAAAAATCAGCATCATCAGCACTACCTATGAACAATAAAATCAGTATCATCAGCACCACCAGAGCTTTGCCCCAATCAACATCATTCACCACGGGGAGATGTTGTGATTTTTTCTCTTGAAACCTCGAAACTAGGAGTTTTTGAATGTCTGAATTTTCAGGTATGAATAAAATATTAGGTATATTCTGTTTATATATGAAAAATGTTTCATCTTTGAGTGTGTAAGCTTTTTAAGCTTTCTGATCCTGGGAGGTTTTCATCTCAAGGCAGCTGCCTCCCAAGGCATCATTTTTTGTTGAAACTGAAAAACTAGGAAGTTTATAGAATAGTTATGAAAAATTTCAGATATGAATAGAGTATTTAGTAGAATATTCAGTTTATATTTAAATAAACTTAATCTGCACATTAAAGATTTTCGAACTTTCTAATCCTGGGAAGTTTCCATCTCAAAGAAAAAAGTGGTGTGAAAAAGGTACCATTTTCTGCTGAAACCTGAAACAAGTGCCTCGGTTGTTGTTTAATATGTATCAAAATAGGTGTGTTCGATTTGTACCTGAAAACTTTAAATCTTTGCTCGTACAAGATTTTCCAACTTCCTGATCTTGGAAAGCTTCTATCCTCAAGGCAATAAGATGGTGGTGCAATGGAAAATGCACCCTTTTCTGCTGAAATCTAAAAACGAGGGGTGTATGTGTAGAGACCTTTTCAGGCATGAATTCAATATTAGGAATATTCTATTTATATTTGGAAACTTGGAATTTACGGCGATGTTGCACAGGCTCCCCTGCACAACATCACCGCGAATCAGTGCACACTACATTCTGTGTTATCACTGCCTTTGTCATAATGACGCAATAAAGGGGCCAACATTTTTTGTTCTAGTGCCTCTCTTATTAAACCAACAGCGGTATCACTAATTCAATGGCACGCATATAATTAGCCAAATTTGTTTAACAATGGATAATAAACATTATGAAACCATAACAGATATGTGTATCGTTTTTGGAGCTTGTAGCTGCCAATTGTTATAAGGCACTGCATAATAATAGTGCTGAAATACAAAAGAATAAAGTACTGATGCAAAGATAATGTCGGATGCTTCTGGAAGGTAACAATAAATGAAATTTGTCACACATGCCCAAAAGTAACGAAATTGAGGAATGTACTAATAAAGCAACGTGCAACATATTTCATTGCTTATTTCTGGTAACTGACACAACGCTGCTCTTGATATAAAAAAGCATATGTGTGAGGTGATCAACCAAGGGGCTTCACTGGTAGTTTTACCGACTTGTCCAGACTGAATTTGACAGATGGGATCATCTTTCTACGTTCTTTGGACAGCACTAGGAAAGTGTGCCCAAGTACTAAAGTAGAAGCAATATACTGGAATGTTTATACTTTGTGCACATGCCAGTGCTTATTCTGAGGTGCTCTAATGAGTTTATTTTCGCGAGCTCAGTATTTCTCGAATTTTTCAAAGTGTGAGTTTGGAGAATAATACGTGGGTACAAAATTTCACAATCTGCAGTGATATGTATGCTATGTAGTATTATTTACCACGGGACGATACACAGTATTCGCATGTTCAACTTTTCCCGAAATTATTTAGGTTCACGAAGATTGAGTTGTTTACAGTGTTCGTATTCTGCTTGCTTCTGTTGTCCTTCTAGGTGCGTGCCTTTGACAAAGACAAGGGAATGGCTGCCACACTCCAATACAGCATCCACGACAGTGGGTCTCTGTCCAACATCACTTCCTTGTTCAACGTGACCCACGACTCCGGAGAGGTCTATCTCAAAGCTCCACTCGAGGGGAAAGGTAAAAGAGGCAGGAAATACTCGACTCCTAAAGAACTTATTGTTTTCAAAGGGGTGGTACAAAAATATTGCAAACAACCTAATTTTTTCAAATCGCCTACGATTCGCAAAAAATAGACCCCACGAATATGTTTCTATATGGTAGCAAATACATAGCATACAGACTTGCAAAAAAAAGAGCCTGCAAATAATTTCAAATGTTCAGCTTTGGCCCGCTTTGCGAAAATCGGAGCCTGCAAAAATTCGAGTTGTTTACAATATATGTTAGGCAGAAATGCCCTGACAACCTGCGTTTGTCAATCAAGATTTTTTTTTTTTTTAATTTGAGATTGAAGAAAGTATATTTGGACATATCAAGATTCGTAAGTCCACTAAGTTAGGCACCTCTAAAGGTTTAATTTTATGTCAAATCTGTCGCTTACTTGCCATCCCCAAGCACCTGACTCTTTGAGGTCACAATCCCTAAATACTGTTAGATTAAAATTAGCTCATACATAGACAAGTGGAAGCTCGGACACAACATTTAGGAGTTCAGCTGGGTTTTCATTTCAGTTAGGTGCAGTAGTAGTGAAAGGTTTGGAAAAAAACTATTCAATATTCAATAAAAAAAATATTTAGCCAAAACCCCTATTCGCTCATTCTCTCATTAACTTGAACTCATCTATTTTGAAATGTCAGTTAGGTCTAAAGATTATCTTAGCCTTTCGCTTGTCTCAAAGTTTTCAAGACAGGCTTTGGATATCTGAAAATCTTGTCAACAAAAATTTAAAAAAGAATGGAGAGGGTGCAGCAAATGATGAACTGGTGGTTCAAACAATAATTAACCAAAAAACAGCGATCGAAAAGAAAAAAAAGAAATTGCATCATTGCATTTGCGCAAGCGACAACCCACAAATAAGAAAAAAAAAAGTCCTGTGTCATGAGCGCGGAAATGCGAGGAGCAGCGTGTGTCTCAGGAACGTTTGTTGTCCTCGAGGCTCACGCCGAGAGGCATTGATCTTTTTGTAAACAAGTAACTGTTGAAAGGTGGCATCCACACGTTTTACCCAGAAAGAACAAGTGCTCAGGCCTGCTTTACGACAATAATTTTAACTTATTGAGCTGGCCAGACATGCACGCCAAGGTCAAACTTGCTATGTGAGCGATTATACAGTACAAAGTTATTTCACCTTAACTCAAGTTGCTAGTGTGATTTTAAGCACGCCACGCAGAGTTGCGATTAATTATTGATGTCTGGGTCAGGAGCAGTAGCATTCTCTCTGCATGCTGCAGTAGACGACACTTGCACCAATTAGATACTAAGTAAGAAACATCTACAAGTACTAAAGCTTCTCACCAGAAGGGTTTAAGTTTGGGTACTAAAGGCCAACTTTCAAAAGTGTTGCGTAAGATGTCAAGTTGGCCTCAAAAGTATTTAAGGTAGAATAACCTTGCAAAAAATGTCTAGGTTGGAGTACTAAACACCAACTTTCGAATGTATTTTCTAAGGTACCGACTTACTCCCAAAAGTATTTAAGCTATAATCAGTGACAGGTTAAAAGTAATATGAAACTCCTCCCACCTTCTTTCCCCTTTAGCAGAGCAAACGCTGGAGTGGAGGTGACCTCCTCTCCAGCATTGGCTCTGCTAAAAGGGAAAGAGGTGGGAGGAGCTTCTGCTTCACTCTTAACTCGCCACTGGCTATAGAGTAACTCGAATAGTGTATCAAAGTTGGGTCCGTAGTAGACTAACGTTCGACTTTCTTCTCGTTCCTGTCAGAAAACAACGCCTACCAGTTCTTTGTGCGCGTGCGCGACCACGGCACGCCCAAGCCCCTGGAAAACGTCGTCCCGGTCACCGTGGTCGTGATGCACCCCGGGGAGCTGGGACCTCGCGTCGACCTCGCCACGTCGCACTACTTCCTGCGGGAGAGCGACCCCGTGGGCACGGTCGTGCTCACGCTGAATGCCTCCCAGCCGCACGAGCACCACGGCGACCCCTCCAGCCACCAGCTGACGTACACCTTCGTGCCTGCCCCGGCGGGCTCGGACCACGAGCTCGATGCCTCAACCTTCAGCCTCGACGAGCGGGGCCGCATGATCCTTGTGGGGGAGCTGGACCGCGAGCGCCAGGCGGAGTACTACCTTGCAATCCGTGCAGAGACGGAGCTCTCTCTCGTTGCGACGGTGGACGTGACCGTGCTGGTGAACGACGAGAATGACAACGCACCTATCTTCGACTCGGCGTCCTATCGCGCCTCCGTCGCGGAGAACGCGGAGGAGGGCTGCGCGGTGGCCAAGCTGACGGCGCATGATGCCGACAGGCTGCAGAAGATCACGTACGAGTTCTACGAGGGCAACGACCCGGCCGCTGACATCTTCCGCGTCGACGCGATCACCGGGACCGTGACGACGCTGGTGGCGCTCGACCGCGAAGCGGTGCCGTCCTACAACTTCACGGTGTCCGCGCGCGACGACGGGCTGCCGCCGCGCTCCGCGACGACGTGGGTGTTCGTCGAGGTCGTGGACGTCAACGACAACGCGCCGGCGTTTGCGCGACCGCGCTACGACGCCGCCATCCTGGAGGACGCGGTGCCGGGCACCGTGATCGTGACGCTAGAGACGAGTGACCCCGACGGGGTCGGGGCCGGGCTGGACCTGTACGTGGTGAGCGGGGACCCAGAAGAGCGCTTCGGGGTCCGCAGCACGGGCGAGGTGTTCGTGGGGCGGCCGCTGGACCGGGAGGCAACGGCCTCCTACTTCCTGGAGGTGGTGGCCACCGACGGCGTGTTCGTGGCCACCACCCAGCTGGCCATCGACGTGCTGGACGCCAACGACAACCCGCCCGTGTGCCTCAAGGTGGGTCCCCTCCCTAAGCTCAGGCAGTGACGTAAACTTTGCGTTCCTCTTCCGTTAGAGTGCTAGCTTTGGCAGGGCGTTCTTTCCGACACGCAGTGCAGGGCGACGTTCGCACCTTTGGGGCACGAAGCACATGCCGAGTTTGTCTCAGCACACAATACGTTCTGCGATACCATTGCCTTTGATGCGATGGTACCGCATCAAAGGCAATGGCAAATTTTGTGTCGTAGTTTGAGTGGCCAGCTCTCGTAAATGCTCTACAGGTCTTTTTGTCAGAGTTGTTCACCGAAACACAGACACGGCAATTTGTCGAAACTTCTGCTTTGCGCCGTCGGAATGCAGGAAGTAGACATTTGCAGGGACACTGGCCGAAACACAAGCGCGCAATGTAGCTGCCGACGGAATTGGCATGACAGGGTGCATCCTTCGAAGGCCTGGCCCCTAGCACGTGCTCCATGCCTTTTGCTGCGCTTCTGCTGTGTACGCGTTCATGGTGCACGAGATGTCGAAGCATTGTTGAATGTAGGAAGCTTGCGCTAGGGGTGGGACAACTGAAGCTTCTCCCTGCTTTCGTTGCCTTGTTGGTGTTCATGGTGTGGATTGTACATCAGTGGCAGTAACGGTAGTGTCACCGGTGCTGCCTTTTCAGTCCAAGTACACGGAGCTTGTGTCGGAGAGCATTGCGGTGAACACATACATCCTGACAGTGGAAGCGACGGATGCAGACGAGAACAGGAATGCTCAACTGCGCTACTACCTCTCTGGCAAGGGCTCGGACGACTTCTTCATCAACTCAACCACAGGCAAGTCGAGTCAGGCTACGTCTCAGCTTTGGCTTCTGCTTTGACTTCTGCTTTGGTATCTGCTTTGGCTTCTTCTTTGGCTTGTAGAAGGCATTTGAAAAATCTTTGCCCAGAAAGTGTGTGGCAAATTAGGAATATATATAAAGTTTGCTAATATTTTATTTATTTCACCACATGGGGAGGGGATGGCTGAAGCCGAAGTGTGGGATTAGGGGTTTTGAGGAAGGGAATAGAAAGTCGCTGTGAGCTGTTGCGCACACTTGAAAAGTCTTGCTGGGGTGCTGATAGGCATCTTTGGGGGGTCATATTGCTCCTAGGTGTGGCTGCCGGTATGGGAAACTGTCCGTCAAGTAGAGGGAATCACCTCGCACCTCTCTTGCAAGGCCACTTCTACACCTGTAGTATTGTGCTAGCATGTAGGCTGGTTGGGGATCTTCGGAGGTATGCTGCTAATGTATCATGATTGACATGTCAGATATCTTGAACAGCGAAGCGAAGGATTCTTCCGAGCTACGCTTCCGTGTCCTTGCCTTTGCCAGTGCCGAAGCCAAAAGTTGCCAGCAGTAGGTATTCTCAAATTCTGGCGGCTCTCAAAAGTTGGCCAGCAGTATTCTCAAATAAATAAATAAACTGGCGAGATGGAGCATGTTCTTTGGTGCCCCACTAGATGACGCTGTGCATTTGGCATGTGTTCTATTAGTATATCTCTCCCAGTCTCAGCGTTGATGTAGTAAAGCAGTGCCGAAGCTTACAATCTTTGTAAACAAAACAAAAAAAAACTTTATTACGGGGAATTTGGGGAACCTCTCCTGAGGGTACTCTGGAGAGCCCCCGGGTTCCTAGGCGCCCTGTTTTAAAACTGGGCTTTGCTTCCTTGTTTTTAACATGGTTTGTGTTATGTGGCCGGCTACTAGTAGCTTTCTGTAACGCGCTTCCTGTAACGCACCCCTGTGGCGGAAGAACGTTGCACAAAAATGTGCGGGTATAAAAAAGCACCAGGGAAAGCATGAAAGTACTCGGTATGGAACCGGGGCGCCTCCGGTCGTGAACCAGATGCCGAAACGACTGTGGCGACAGTGCACACGGTTAAAGCAAGTATGAAAAGCAAGTATGTCATGAGGTGGCAGACATCCTCGCACGCATTTTGGGAGAGGGAAGAGGGCAAACATTTTTTTCAAGAGGAAACGGGAAGACGTGCTATATAGCAGGGTTGAAGTCTGCTGCCGCAAGGGATGCAAACTTCGTGTTCCACTCCCACTCGAGCACTAGCTTTGGCAGGACTCTCCAAATTTAACAGAAGCTACGCATGACGACGGTAGGGGTGCAAAGGGCACACTAAGTTCACCTGTGCAACATCGCCGCGAAGCAACGCACGACAGATTAGCTTTGCCTCGTAACACAGGATTCAATTTATAGGTCGTCTTGTCACAAACATGCGTTTGTTAATTGTTTGACTTATTGTGAGAATTAACTGCCTATATTACGTCTTCCTGAGCATATAACTTGCCTGCACAGACCGCATCGGTAGAGAATTGCTACGAACGTGCGTCATAATGAGTGTCATTAACGAGCGGCAGGTTGGGGGCGTTGCAGACGTTAAGGTCATCTATAAAATTGGAGCCCCGTGGCAGGGCTTGAACCTGGGTGGGTGCCGTGGCAGTCGGCAAAAACTTGGAGCCTGCTCGTCACGTGGGTCCGGACAGCCACTCACACGCCCTGCTGGCTGTCATCAAGGCAGTCGTCATTAGCCCCTCCCCCATCTCCAGAAAACAAGAAAGGGGAAAGCCGAAAGCGAGGACGAAAGTTGTGCCATTTGCGTAGTTGATGTCCTCACCGAAAGTGTGTGCGCGTGCCATACTTTTCACACTTTTTGAGAAGAGCGCGCATTTTCTTGACCGCGCACGGCATTTGCTTTGTCCTGTTTGGGCAGTCCTTTAAGGCCGAATTACAGCCCCAATTTTATGCAGGAAAGATGGTCCTCTTAGCGTCCTTCTCTTTTAAAATATGAGGGTGGGCCGTTTTGGGACAGAGTTAACAGTGGAGACGACATAGGAAAGGAGGAGGCAGGCAGAAGTGAAAGTGCAAAGCCTACGTCGGCTTTTAACAGATTTAATACGACGATAACGGTTTACAAAAAGATGGCGGTTCCATGACAACTGGCCAAAACTTCTACCCTCGACTAAGCAATATTCAGGGTTTTTTTCAGGAAGTGGGCCAAATAGTTCCTGTGGATGGTATGCGTCGCACAGAAAGCCAGGCAATGTTTTGCTGAGACTCGTCTGACATCTGTTGTGAACGGCACTTGCGACGTCCTGTCTGCAACATCTGCCGTGGACGACATTTGCCGCGTCTCGTCCTGACGGCCCCAGGCAACCTCTTGCCGAGGCTCGTCCCTGGCCGTAGACGTTGTCTGCAACACCCGCTTCTTCTGGTGCCTGCCTGCAGGAGTACTTCGGACAAGCCGCCTGCTGGACCGGGAGCGGCAGCCGCGCTTCCGCCTTACTGCCCACGTGCAGGACTGGGGCCAGTGGGACTGGGAGTGCACCAGCGCGGTGGAGATCTTGCTGAGCGACGTGAACGACAACGCCCCCGCCTTCGGCCAGGACGCCTACACTGCCACCGTGGCCGAGGACGTCGACGTGGGCACCCTGGTCGCCAAGGTCCACGCCACGGACAGGGACCTCGGTGCGTAGATGGCCCCTTTCCGCTCCCAACGTGTAGTACTATACAAGCTGTGTAAAAATAACGCACAAAAGACAAGGAACGAAAGGGATATGCAAAAGACAAACTTTTGTTTTTTGAAAGAACTTCCTTTTTGCCCCTTGTTCGTCTTTAAGAGAACTCCCTTTTGTCCCTTGTCTTTTATGCGCGCAACTGTCAAAGTTGGTTAGTTTGGTTTGCAGACTATGGAAGTGCGATAAATTGGTTGTATTTACACCCTCCTAAACCAGAGGGAAGCTTCAAGCTTGTGAAAAGTAAGAAAAAAAAAGATGTGGGTTTCTTTTGTTGACTTTGATATCAGAATAATTCAATTCCAAACCATTTCCTTGCAGACCAGGACGCATAGCGCACAAAACCCAATAAGAAAAAGAACACAGCTTTTGCTCTTCCCCTGGACAAGTTATTATTCAATGTTGAACCCTTTTACAGATGGCAACTGGCAACTTGATCAGAAAGTGGTTGAGAGGTCACTGATCAGTCACTAACAGCAGCGTTGCTGACAAACCACCATTCCCAAACACAAATGGTCATTGCACAACAAACAAAAGGAACACAGGTCATACTTTTCAAGGAGACTGACCTCTTTCAGCTGAAATCGAATTTAAAGAAATTAATTTGGCATAGTTTAATTTTTTTTTATTTTTTTCGGTTTAAATTTGAACTTTAGAACCCTAGCTAGAGGTCAACATACTATTTACAAACGAAGCCTGTATTTGCCCACACCAGGTGTAGGCACTGTTTGTGCGCAGAAACCGGATTCGTATGAGAAGAAGCGTCCGCGCATGTGCCGTGCAGACAGCAGCGCCACCGCGGCATCGAGACCTCAGAGCCGCGTGCCGACCCATATAAGTATTTGTATTAATGCTTTAGCATTAGTGCCCTGGCACACGCACCGACCTTGGACCGGTTTGGAATAGCCAAAGTTTGCAACATTGACACGATATGGTAACACAGCCCCACTGGCTGCGGAGACTGGCTAGCAAACACCCTCTGCAAGCTCCGACAGGTGGCGGGCAGGGTGCGGGCGCATGCTTCGACCTGCCATGCCTGCCATGCCGTGCTTCATGCGCGGTCCTCTTACCACGTCACCGGGTCGTAAGCGCAGGGTGTCATCGCCCCTGTATACACAACCTACACAGCGAAGTAAGGCCCAAGAGGACCGACGATGCTGTTTGCACGAAACTGCCGACTATCCACCGCATGATTAAACGCACGTTCGCTGTGAATACAAACGTGCAATGAAAAGGCCTTGTCGTTTTACATGCATCGTGCGCGCGTCCTCCATGCACACTTTATGTGAACTGATTTGCTTGCACCAGGGAGAAAAGGGGTTTTGAGAATGTTCTTTTTCTAGATCGTTCATTATGACGAGATGTGACGAATTTTGAAAATGACAGGGTGTGTTAATGAGGATTTACGTGTTACAGAATGCTGAGATTTGTTAAGGTCTGATGCGTATGAGAAGTGCTTATGTGCAGACCAGGCATCAAGTTCGGACTAGTATGTGCCGGGTCATAACTATGTAAGGATCTTTCAAACCAAAATTTGCATCTGTTGTTTATTTACTGGGTGCGGACTATAGTTTTGAAAATATGGTAGACATTATTTGGAGTTCTCTGCTGAACTTAGTGGGATGTAAGTTTCATTAAAGTCTGTGTGTCACACTTTTGCATGACACTGTTTTTGGGGACATTTCTTTATAAAGGCCTGCCCGTAAACAGACTCCACGTAACGTTTTCTGAACGAAGTGTAACAGTCGAGCTTAACTCCTCATGCTACGTCGAGCCTTGCATCGCTTGGTTGCCACAAAAACTCGCCGACGATCTCGTCACAAGCGGACGTAAGCTTCCTTGACGTGACTTAAAAAACCGGGGCAGTGTGAATGGTCCTTTGAAAACCTCGGATTCCAACCGCTATGCAGGCTTCAACCGCAGAGTCAGCTACTCGTTCGTGGATTCGGCGAGGGGCCACTTCAGCATTGACGAGACGTCCGGCATCGTGATGCTGAACCGGCCGCTGGACCGCGAGGAGCGCGCCACCTTCAACCTGACGGTGCAGGCGAGCGACCATGGGACACCACAGCTCTCCAGCCTGGCAACCCTGCTCATTGTGGTGCAAGGTGCGGGATATGGCTAAAGAATTAAAACAGGGACAACGCAACCACATCTTTGAAAGATGTGGTTGTGTTGTCCCTGTTTTAATTGTTTTATTCTTTCTTCATCCATGACTTAAACCAACACGCTCTTCTCCCAAGCGTGCGGGATAGACACATCATGTGCCGTACGCCGAGAGCGAGGCGCTAGAACACGTGGCTTAGAAGTACCGTAACTGATTTTGGCAGGAGTGCCAGGTTTTTGCAAAAGATTGGTGGACAAAGTCTCAAGAGGCTTCACAAGACACAAAGTTGGTGGGGCAGATGAATTAATGAGAGACAGATTTTTAGAGTAAAACTTAAAAGGGATTTGTATATTCGGTATTATTCAACGTTCAGCTGCACCAAAACACCTTTGTAACCAGGCAGTCGCTCCCTAGGAAGTCTCACAGGTGCATTTATTTATTTATTTATTTGGTACCTACATTGCCCGGTGGGCATTACAGTAGGGGGATGAAAGAAAGTAACAAAAGCAAATGCACAGCAGAACAGCAACAACAACAAATAACAAGGCAAGCAGGAGAAACATGACAATATATACAATAATATGAGAAAATGAATAACCGCAAAATAACCAAGTCAAACAGGAGAAACATGCCAATATATACTGCAATAATATGAGAAAATGATTAACAGCATGCAGAAGCCACACAAAAAATCATTGAACCGACTACAATAACATAATTTCATCAATAGACGATTGTACATTAGGAAGCTCTACCAGTCAGGCCAACACCACCTGGACAGAAGGCCTCCACACGCGTCATCATAGTCAGATCGATCGAGGCGAGAGATTGGGCACGAGTGCTGCGTCAGTGTTCGGCTGCGGCTCGTGGCCAATCAGCGCGTCGAAGGTCGGGCTCGGGTCCAATAGCCGACCGAGCGCGATCCGACTGTGATGACGTTTCATAGAGGAAGAGGAAACCATGCGGAGGCCATCTGTCTAGGTGGTGTTGGTCAGGCAGCACGTTCTAGTCATTAACTGTCCATGGAAAAAAAAGAATATTTTAGAACGTCTGTCCGTGTGTGAAATTCTCTGATCTTTTTTTGATTACTAGTTCTAAGAGAAACATAATGAGCTTCCAGTAGGTATCTTGACTTATCTATACCGATACTACCGTGATAAAGATTAAACATAAACTTGAGACGGAGGCACTTTCGTCTTAGTTGTAAAGGTTTTCATTCGAGTTAGAGCTTTAATTGAGAGACACTATCATGAAAATTATAGTTATTTAGCACATATCTTGTGACCTGATTCTGAATTCTTTCGATTTGATTTATACATGTTTGCGTGTGTGGGTTCCAAAGAATACAAGCATAGTCCAGAATTGGGAGGACGTAATAAAAGTAGAGGGTTTCTTTCAAATGAGCAAACACTTTTCTGAAATTGCGACACAAAAAGTGAAGGATGCCGCTGGCCTTAGGACATAATAACTTCACATGATTATTCCATCTTAAATCAGCGGTTAGGCGTACCCCGAGATATACTGCCTCAGGCAATTTAAAAGTATTTAAAAGCGAGCAGAATTCATTGCAGCTTGGGTAATGTTTCTAGGCCAGGTGGCACAAGTTACCCCTTCCCCCCGCCAATACCAATACCATCCATCCGTCCATTGCTCCAGACGTCAACGACAACCCGCCTGAGTTCTCGCGCAAGTTCTACCACGCCGTCGTCTCGGAGGCCTCTGCCGTGGGTGTCGAGGTGCTCAAGGTGCTGGCGACCAGCCGGGACAGCGGGCTGAACGCGGAGGTGACCTACTTCTTCAGCGCTGGCAACGAGCTGGGCCACTTCAGCATCGACGCAAAGACAGGTCAGTGCTCTTTTGGCCGTTTATAGAGAGCTTGCTATTGGATGGCATATGGCTGTTCATCTGGGATCACATGGTTGGCGGGCAGTATATTAGGTAGTGTTTTGTAAATATTTGAGTTTTCGAATAGTAGTTTTGAATAATACGTTATTCGATATTAGCTTCGGGGTGAACTGTAATATTCATACCTTTCGAAGTGTTGATCGCGACGGGATAGCCCCGTTGGGTGCGCTTCTCACCGAGCACCTGTGCACTGTGGGGAAGCAATACCTGCGAAGCTCGCGCGCTCCGCAGGTATTGCTTTCCCGCAGTGCACAGGTGTTCATTGAGAAGCGCACTCAACGGGGCTCACCCGCCACTGACAGCCCACATTCATCATTCATGCTTTTTTTTAGGGGCGAAGCTCCGTAGAATTTAGCCTTGTCCGTCCGATGTCCGTACTCAGATCAATCTTGCTGGTGCTCGTGAGCTCACATGCTCACGTGCTCTTGTAGGGAAAAAAGAAAATTATGAAAAAAAAATAAATAAATAAATGTTTGCGCAGTCAACGGGATTTTACGCTATGAGGGGAGACCCCATTGGATTTCTAGACCATTGCCTTAACCACTCGGCTACGACTGCGGGACGAGTAGGGGGCTCTGAGATGTGGTAGTAACTTAAGAGCTGGGGATGTCGTGGATGAAACTTTGCATGTAGCCGCTCAACGTCTATACAGGAGAGGGCGCTGCGGTCAAATGCGTATATAATCGCGTTAAACTTTGCATGCATTGGCTCAACGTTTATAGACGAGAGGGCGCTGCGGTCAAGTGCTCAAATGCGTATATAACCACGTTCCATACCACACATTATCTTTCTGACATGGATGAAAACAAACGAAAGGCTCAGCATGCTGTGGCTCAGCGTCTACGCAGACAAGCACCACCAGTGCTTCGGCCCAATCAACATCATTCACCACATGGAGATGTGGTGATTTTTTTTTTCATCAAATTTTGAAATAGGGAAAACAATATTTGCATATAGCAAGCAGATTTATAAATCCCTTCGATAAGGATTAGGGTGACCACCCGTCCCGCGACTCGCGGGACTGTCCCGCATTGAGGGCTCGTGTCCCACGTGCCGTGAGAAAGTCCCAAATCTACAAAATGTCCCGCATTTCACACTGTCGTAAAATTCACTCCGCAACTCACGGTGCTGCCGAAACATGGGGCACGGGGAAGTGAGGAGGTCGCAAGTAATTGTGTGAATCGAAAAGGTACGCCATGCTCTATGATCTATCCAAGCATTGCGGTAAGCGACCGACGTTCTTGCAAGAGGACCGACGTGCATGCGCCGTTGTGCCTCTCCCTTTGGTGGGAAAATATTGTACGAAAAAGTTCTCGCCAAAACTTCAAATATAAATAGGGTTCTGAGTTTTCGGTTTAAAACCGATAAAAACCGATAAAAGTATGCCGAATCCATTTTCGGAAATTCGGTTTTAACCGAAAAAGGTCAGTTTTTAGGTTCGGCACTTCCGATTTAAACCAATAAAAACCGATAAAAGTATGTCGATTCCATTTTTTTAAATTCAGTTTTAACCGGATAAGGTCACTTTGACCTTCATTCGTACAGCAGAGCCGTGGCGAAAAAGTGGACCGACAGTGTCTATCGAAACGAGTCCGAATGTATGGGATACACGGATGCCATCACGACGTTTTGGTTTAATGTATGCATCATCAATCGAAACGTGATGTGCGAAATGCCCCATGACTCCACCATGGATGTAGGAATTTCCTGAAGGGGGGGGGTCAGGTGTTGGTCAGTGTAGCATAGGTTTAGGAACCCCCGCCCCTCTTCTTCGTTTTACGTTCTAAATTTTACGCATGCAGAAATCAAGAGGGGGGTCAGAACATCCGGACCCCCCCTCCAATTCCGCCCCTGTGTATGAGCACGTTTTCAAACTCGTTGTAAGGAAGACTGACTTGATGCAAGCTCTGCATGTGGTGTTGTGCTTCAAAACGTTGCACCGTGTCTCTTTTGGTGGTCACAATTGGTTGATTAATCGGCCGATCTTGGCTCAGGCAGCGCTCCATCTCATCAACCTGCCCGTGTCCAGTGTTAGCGTTGAGAGAGCATTTTCGAAGCTCAGGGCCATATTAACAGTAAATAAAGAGTGCGAATCAACGAGAACATGCGAAAGTACGCGTGTGTGTACTATAATAAGATAACGTAATCCGGATGTGCAGAAGGTAAAGTTCCATGTTTTTGGGCATAGGATTCATATATAACTTGTCTGTACTTCTGTGTTTTTTGTTCTTTTTTTGTTTTTTTTACAGTTGCACAGATTTGCCAAATAAAGTGTCAATTTCTTTTTCAATGCATCTGTGCCGCTATTCTTTGAGTGATCACAAATATCAGAGCTACAAGGATCATCATATCCGGTGTACGTTGATGTTTATTTCATATTCACCGAAAAAAGCCGATTAAATTTTGTGGAAATAAATATACGCCGAAAAAAGCGAAAATATGATTTTAAAATAAACACCGAAAAAAGTACGCCGAATTTTGAAAAAATAGAAACCGAAAACGCGGAACCCTAAAGATAAAATATTGTTATTATTTTCAAATTGCCGTGCCAATGCGAAAGGTGTGCTGTGGATTTATTTTTTTTTAGTGAAGGCAGGCACACATGCAACGGTGGAAAAAGAACATTATGTTAAAAATTTGTGTAGCACCATGCCAGTGTGAAAGGTTTGCTGTGGATTTTTTTTCCTTTTTTTTTTAGTGAAGGCAGCCACACATGCAACGGTCGAAAAAGAACATAATGTTAAAAATTTGTGTAGCACCATGCCAATGCGAAAGGTTTGCTGTGGATTTCTTTTTCTTTTTTTTTAGTGAAGGCAGCCACACATGCAACAGTCGAAAAAGAACATAATGTTAAAAATTTGTGTAGCACCATGCCAGTGCGAAAGGTTTGCTGTGGATTTTTTTTTTTTTCTTTAGTGAAGGCAGTTAGCTACACATGCAACGGTTAAAAAAAAACATAATGTTACAAATTTGTGTAGGATCATGTTGATATAAGTAAGCATGGACAGGAAACAATAAGCAGAAAAATATTTATTGTTTCGTATTTCCATTTGATGCATTGAGTTCTGGTACAGTCGATTTTTATGTTTTCAACTTCGGCACATGTAATACCATCTTTGGCATTCAAAATAATCTATCGCTGGTAGTGAAAATTATTTGAGCTTAATTGCTGCAATACAATTAGCAGGTGTATAAACAGTACGGGATAATAAATGTGTTAACAGAGCCTTGGTTTGTTGTGTGCGTCTTAATAAATCCCCCCTCTGCCCCGCGTGTCCCGCATTTCGCTAGCAGGAAGGTGGTTACCCTAATAAGGATAGCTGCAACAAATCTCTCAATTACATGCCACATTCATATATATAGTTACAATGAAATTAACTTTTTTATTTATTTATTTATTTATTTGATACGTGCCCACAAACAGCATGACGCCTTCAGCGTGGTGCACAAAAGGAAACGAAGCAAAGGAAGTATGTGAAAATAGGTTAAAAAAAAAGCAAAGAAAAGAAAGAAAAAGCAAAAAAGAAAAAAGAGAAATTAACAGATATTATACATGATTGTATAATACATGACTCTACAACACAAAGAAGTACACTCAGGTTTTGGACAAATTTTTCACAGCTCGGGCAAAAGTATCATAACCATCAAAGATGCTCAGACCAGGTGCCTCAAGTGAGTTGTATACAAGTTGTGCTCTCTGGACAGTACTTTTGGGATGAACTACAGGATAAAATAGTGGCGAGGAACGACATCGTGTGGGGACATGAAAACTGATTGAATATAGTAAATCGGCACAGTCAACAACACCATGGACAAGTTTGTGGAGAAAGCACAGACTGAGGAGTGTTCTTCTATCGCTCAGTTTGCATAACCCAATGTGGTCAAGTATTCTATCGTACGAGTAATATACTCTTCTGAAAAGGTAACGATCGTAATAGATTTGAACAAATCTCATCTGTACCCGTTCCAAAGAAAGTGACAAGTAGTGACTAGCCGAGAGCGTACAGTAGCCAGAAAGAGTGACAAATAACAGCTAGGATTAGTGAACTCCTTCGAAATGCATGTTATGAGACCAAGGGACTTCATTGCTTCATTGGCCACTCTTTCAATGTGGTGTTTAAAACTCAGCGACTCATCAATGTGCACCCCCAAGTCTCGGACTGTTGACACTTGAGCAATGGGATCACCATGTAGCTTATACAAAAATTGAACTTGCACCTGTCGACAAGAGTATGAAATCACATTTGTCTTTGCTGGGTTGATGCGAAGCCCATTTGCTGAATGCCATGAGGAGACGGTGTTAATGTCATGCTGTAGAAGAGAGCACTCATCAACTTTATCTATAGCTCGAAAGATCTTAATTTCATCAGCAAAGAGAAGCATTTCAGAGTGTTTCATGCGCTCAGCCAAATCATTAATAAAAATGAGAAACAGCAGGAGGCCCAGGTTGCTACCCTGAGGGACTCCAGAAGTTGATCTAAATTCGCGTGAAAAGCAACCAGAGACTCGTACAACATTTGTACGATTAGACAAATAACTTTCAAAAAGCATCAAGTATGACTTACATACCTATTTCATAGTGATCCATTTTACGCAATAGCAACGAATGAGACACTATGTCAAACGCCTTTGACAAATCAAAGTAGACTGAATCAATTTGGCGTCTTGAATGTACTACGGGGATTACTCTGCCGAGAAAAGCACACAAGTTTGTTGCAGGTGAACGATGGGGAATAAAGCCATGTTGTTGAGTACACAGTTTCTGGGAGAAGTAAGAGTATAGGCGGTTGTACAAAATAATCTCTAGTACCTTAGACAAGGAGGGAATCAGTGACACAGGGCGATAGTTGACCACAGGAGAGGGGTCGCCCGAGTTAAATATGGGTGCAATAATCGAGCGCTTCCATAGGGTTGGGAAGATTCCAGATTCTATACAAAGATTGAAAATGTGTCTCAGTATAGGTGACAGCACTGGTCCGCAGCCCTTAACGGTGAAGCTAGGGATGTCATCGTGGCCGCATGACTTTTTGGCCTTCATTTTTCTGAGTGCTTCATCGATCTCTGTCTCTGTAACCGGTGTTGCCGATAGGAAGTCTGCCTTTGACGCCTTTACTGCGTAGTTAGTGTTGCCAGTATTAGCAGCCGGGGAACCAGAGCTGAAGTGGTCTGCCAACAGGTTGGCAATTTCTGTTGGGTCAGTACATGCCTTGCCTGCCGTGTGGATGGCTGAAATGTTTGCCGTGCGCGCGCCGTAACTGTGCGTGAACTTCCAGAACTGTTTTGGGTCACGCCTCGAAGAAATTTCTACCCTGTCAATATGAGCTTGCCTGTCTCGTTTCAACAGTTGTTTAGCTTGTCTTCTGAAATCACTGAACATTTTGTATGTCAATGGGCAGCCCGAAGCCTTGTAAAGGCAATGCAGGTGTGTCTTGTGTTCGAGACATCGTCGCAGCTCTTTAGAAAACCAGTTGGGATAGACAGATGGACGGGAAGTGTGTTTCGGGATAAACTTAGCCATTGCGGCCTGCAGTGCGTTAGTCAGTTTGGCCGTGGCCGATTCTGCAGAGTGGTCATTAAGCACACCCGTCCAGTCATAGTCCCTCAGAAACCCGTAAAGGTCAAGGTAGTCCCCACGCTCAAATGAGAATCTAGTTTGTGCAGGAGGCATTTGCCTCACGGCTTTCATTGAAAACATGACCTCTAGAGGAGGATGATAGCTGTCTACCCTTGCTAGTGGAGCAGGTTGTCTATACTCTTGCTAGTGGAGCAGGTTGTCTACCCTTGCTAGTGGAGCAGGTTGTCTACCCTTGCTAGTGGAGCAGGCTGTCTACCCTTGCTAGTGGAGCAGGTTGTCTACTCTTGCTAGTGGAGCAGGTTGTCTACCCTTGATATTGGAGCAGGTTGTCTACCCTTGCTAGTGGAGCAGGCTGTCTACCCTTGCTAGTGGAGCAGGAAACTTAGAAGTAGACAAGAGGAAGGTTGGGAACAACCTTCACGAGTTTAGCCGAATTTTCGTTTAAGCACGATGCACTGTAGCAAAAGACCTTTCTAAACTGTTCAATATTCAATTAAAAAATATTCGGCCAAAATCACTATTCACTTCGACTCTGCTTTGAACTTGAAATCCACTATTTGCACATGCCTAATATTAGGTGTCCAACTTTCACTGGCATCTGTGAGGCTACAATGGAGCACCAGCCAATATCATAATCAATTAAACAGCAGCACTGCAGACTCTACAGCTTTCTTAACATATAAGTTGCAACAAATGAAATTTACATAGATTATCTGCCTTTATAATCTGACTACAAATATGTACTTGGTTTTGATATAGCTTCATTTGTTTTGTTGATATGGAAAATTTAGTTTGAAAAGATTATGGAAAGGATTAAGACAGATTGAAATACAGATATATCAGGAAATAAACATATCTCAGGAAACTGAAAGGCCTGTGGAATCCAATAAGGTTGAAATGAAAGCTCTAGGATGATTTATAAGTTTCTTTTTATGGCAGAATTTTCCAGCTCTAAGATTATTTATTGAAGGAAGTATAAATTTAAAAAAAAAGCATTGCAGAAACCCCAACCCTGATGTCATATTTGACATATTTATACTCCTTATTGTATACCTTGCACTTATGCATACCAGGGAAAGAAAAAATGAAGAAGATTGGATAGGTACGAGTGGTGATATGGCTTCTACAAAAATAGCAAAGTGCATAATTACTTCATTCTAAAATAATAGCAAAAAGATGTGCACTGACCCATTTTCCTGTGTTTTCGAGTCAATGTTTAAAAAAAAAAAAGATACTTCTTTTTTTTAATAAAAATACTTCAGAACAAAATGATAATTGCCTGACAGTCTTTAAAAACACCATTTAAACTTTTTTTTCTTTTTTGTACCAAAGAGTAGTGTGCTTCTTTTTAGGTAGCGCGAATGAGACAAGGGGCGAAAAAGGCAGGCGTGCGACAAAAATGGGCGCTAACTTGTCTACACGGGGGTGTTATAGTCACGAGGGTAGTACGGAAGGGAGGAGCTTCAGTTGCCACGTCTCCAGCATGAGCTTCCTACCTTTGGCAATGGCTTCTTGTGCACTTGGAATGTAAACGCACTGCCAAGGCACTGTGCAAGGCCACGAGTGCGTGTTGGGGGCCGGGCGTTAGAAAGAGGTGTCTTGCTGTTCTCTCTTTTTCACTGAGTATATTATGTACTAATCACATAAGCATCGGTATATGGATTGTTTGGATTAGCCTTGCAATAAAATCTGTTGGAAGCTAGGGCCAGTCTTTGCTATATGTGTGCCTTTTTATGTCCTTGTCTTCTTCGCTCTATTTGGTCACTCTTCAGTATGAAGCAACCAGCCCAATCGAGAGTCATAATGCAGCGTCGGGAGATGCCGCACGGAGTGGCCCCAGCACGCTGGCCCTGCCAAACTTCGATGACGAAATTTACCTGCAGTCTATTTTAACTTTGATTCGTCCCGGGTGCTCCCGGGGGCTCCCCGCATTATTTTACCTCCATTTCGAATGTGTCGTGCCAGCTCGCATTGCTGTGCTCTACGCATCACTCTCTTTACAAACATGCAGCTCAGTTTGAATGGGCTTTATGCGGTGCTCCCGCGCTTAAAAATTTGTCATGCGAGAGGTTACTTGCTTGTCCCCTCAGCTTGCACCAGTATGACTTTCTCTCTTCCATGTGTCTTGTGCCTACGTTCCCTCCTGCAGCAGTGTGTCTCAAGCCAATACATACTTCTTTTACGAATGTCTTTTCTGGATCAATATATCTTCCCTTTACCTACGTGTCATTTTTTTTTTTGTGCTGTTACGTCTCTCGGCATTAATATGTCTTTCCTGCACCAGTATGTCTTCTCCCGCTGACGTTTTTCTTTGTTCTCATACGTCTCGCAAAGACGGCAAGAAAGGCAAGACAGCCTTTCGTGCCGTCTTTCTTGTACTCATGTGCGTTTCTGTCAGTGTTTCTTTCTTATGCCAATATACGTCTCTTGCACCGATGTATTTGTTTCTCCTGCGTCAATGCGCGTTCCCTGTGGTGTCCCCCAAGGTTCTGTCAAGGTGGCCAAGCCCCTGGACTACGAAGACGTGCGGGACTACTTCCTGACGGTGCTGGCACGGGACGGGGGTTTGCCGGCCCTCAGCAACCAGGCCTCCGTCAACGTCTCGGTAACCGACTACAACGACTGCCCGCCCATGTTCGGACTGCCGGTATACAATGCCGTGGTCCGAGAGGACGCCCGGGTCGGAGACCGCATCATCCAGGCAAGTGGAACGACCTCTGCTACCATAAAGGGGGAGGTGACCTTTCTTTGGATGAGCTTGCTGGATTCCTGTTGTCCACGCAAACAGATGTGTAATGATCTAGAGGGGGGCCTCTCAAGCTTTCTGAACCCGAAGAATCCTTTTCTGTCCTAATATTGATGCAGTAAAGCAATATAGAAGCCTGCAGAGCTTGTAAACAATAATGTGCAAATTAGGGAGTGCCTGGCTCATTGTTATGCGTCAATGGACGGCTCACATCTGCTAAAATACCGTATTTACTTATTTTCTGGCTTCGCGAGTTTTGAACTGCACCCGATCCAGCCAGCCACTGAGTCGAGTAAGCCACCAAATGGTCAGGTTGAGCCAAGCCAAATTTAGCGTGGCAGCATGCGTGTGCGTTATGGCCGCAAGAAAGAAGTTTCGGAAGTGATAACAGCGTAACCGAGCGGCCTGCAAAGCCAAAAAAAGCTGGAGTCGAGGAATTGCCCACCCCCTGGAGATGTTTCATCCATCCAGCAAACAAGCTGTCGTTCGTGTTTTGCTTTCGAAAAGCAGTTAGGCGTAGGAATGCTCGTGTTGTTCTTTGTGCCAAGCAAACTTCGTGCAATGCTTTATTTTAAACGAGAAAAAAAATGCAGATGGTGCTTTTAAGACAAGTTGCAATTTGTAGAGCATGGTTACTGTGGCACACCCACGAGCAGCTGTGGGTGCGCCTCCGTAACCGGAGGCATGCCACAGTAGTGTCCCTGTCAGATGGGCACCTAAAATGACATTTACGGAAAATCTGTAAATACGCAAACTTTTACCCCACCTAATGAACGCACCCTCTATATATGGCTAAATTTTTCTTTAAAAAAGGGTGTTCATCGTGCGAGTAAATACGGTAGTCTTTAAACTAGGAAAGTTGTTTTACTCTGGGGCTTGGACAGTCAAGTGCAGCCATGGGACTTCCGGCCAACTCTCTCCAGTCTCTACATTTCTTCTTCCTCCCTAGTAAAGTTTTGGTTACGGTTTCAAGCAGTTGCTTTTCTTTTTTTACTTTGCTAAAGATATGTGTGACGCTGTTGCAAAATATTTATTGGTTAGTCTTTGACACCATAAAAAAAATCGCCTGGCAAAAAATTTAAAAAATTTTTAGGTGAAAGTCAGCGTCTCTTTGAGAAACATTTAGACGAAACTATATCCTAATATTTGGTGGGTGGTCTTCCTAAGTGATACTGAAGAGGGCTGCATTGCTTTTAATGGGAAAGCATTAACTGGTCCCATGAAGCGGGCCGACGTCATCAGCCGCGCCAAACAGGTGATAAATTCCCGACCTGTTATTATTTACACGCACAATGCAGCACTAGCTCAGCACTCGGCCAGTGCTGATGGTGATGCTGATGCAGTCCTGATTTTCCACTTCCGTGCCACGTATCTGTACCAGCCTTTAGACGGCACGTCCCGATGTAAAGGGGAATTAAACAAATTTGGGGAGTCACTCCTCCTGACGCGTGTCACCCGCTGACAAGTGTCGGAAAAGTCGAGCTAGCTTTCCAGCTGGCACTCGCACAATGTGGTGCTTTGCTTTTTGTGACCGCTCTTCTTGCACTTGTTTGCATGCTATCAAGAGCAACAAAATGTTGTTTTTTTTTTTGTTGTTGTTGTTGAACTGACTTGGATATGAGTTGACTTCAATACACTTTTGGTGTCTGAGGCACAACCACAGCAATGCCACTCTCATAATGTCACCATGACTTTTCTTTTTTTGTTTTGTTTACGTAAACATAAAATGATGCAGTCTGTGCAGATAAAATGTATGATTCTGAGTTTGCTGTTGACCTCTTAGTCGTAACTTTTTCATTCATGCACTTTTGAAGTTATTTTTATAAAATATTAAGGTGGGCTAGTTGTAAGCGTATTACCCACAAATATTGTGAAGGACAGACAAGAATTATAGTAGACGGGACCTCTCTTTCTCGCAATTGCATTAAAATGCCACTCGAGAGTATAGCGCTACTCCCATCTTCGGTGTCCTTGCCTGCCCTTCGCTGTATTAGTCATACTAGTCAGCACCATGTTCAGTGAAGCTCTGCAAATGACCCTTGAGTGCAGTGGGGGTTTGCAGCAGCAAAGAGTTTGGGAGGTGCAGGTTTTGGACCAACACAAAGAGCTGTTTTTACCTGCTTAAAGGGGTCAGGACATGCAAAAAATAAAATACGAAGTAATTATACTGCAAGGACCCGTTGTAGTATGTTTCTGTATTTCTGGTAAATTTGTTTTAAAAATGGTGTGGTAGTTTTGTAGATAAATCTATCTATATGCGGGTCCCTCAGATACGCCGCTTTTGAAAAGGCTGCCGTGGTTGGCGCATTGGTGACGTTGCCTTGCATGCACTCACAGACTTGGTTCTCTTGGCGTCTCGAGTTTCAGCTTCCTCGTTTACCTTCCGCATTTCGAGCACATGGTTGGTGACGATTACGTCTATGGCATCGTTCACTTCGTCGAAGTCTTCGACACTGATCGCAGCAGCGTTGAGAGTGATTGTTATCCGGGGATGTTGGAAGCTGGTCATCTTGACTGCGACCCGCTGGCGACCAGCTCCAGCGACGACGAGTCACAGACGAACTCGCCGTGGTTGCCGTCATCCGTGACAATCTCGCAGGTGCATGCAGGATCCGCAAGGTCAAAGGGCCGGGAGCGAGAGCGAGAATAGCGTTGGGGTGGCCGAGTTGAGTTAGCAGTTTTGATTGTACTGCGGAGAGGCGAGCTTGGGCGATCATGGGGGCGCCTAGAATGAGAGAGCATTCATTATCACGTGGTTTATGGGCACCATGATGTGACTCACTTGGGCTGCGTTCCCATGGTCACCGGATGAAAATGATAAAAATTTGTAAGTTGATTATTGCAATTAGTAAAGCTCTAAAAATCGCGAAACTTGGTGTTGTAGCCTAATTGAATTTTGCAATTAGTAGAGCTCTAAAAATTGCGAAGCTTGGTGTTGTAGCAAGTAGCCTATGAGCATTCCATTTCAAGAATAACTATACCCATTTGATTTTTGTGTCTTCACCCCTTTAAAGACAAGGACATTAGGACGGAACTTCCCGTTCATCCCTTTTTCTGTCTACTGAACAAAATTGTTCTTTTTGGAAATCGACTCGGCCTTCAAACTGTTTCAATCACACCGTGTCGTTCACTCCTCCGTTGCTCACTCGCTTGCAGGTAATAGCAAGCGACGCGGACAGTGCGGCCAACGCGGCACTGCAGTACGCCATCGTGCGGGGGGACCGTCACGGCCAGTTTGCCATCGACAAAGAGACGGGCTACATCAGCGTCGCCGCATCCCTGGACCGTGAAATGGTTGGTCCGCGTTGTGCCTGCGCAACGTTTGTTGACTCGCTTTCGTGCCCATAGGTTATTGGTGTGTGAAGACTAAATTATTCGCGAATATACCATAGTATCCTGAGAGATCGCCACCCCCGACAGATAGCCCGCCCCCTTATTTTGGTATGATTTGCAATTTTTTTTTTTTAAAACCGAAAGATAGCCCACTTTTAGTAATTGCGGGGCCCCGGCCAATGCTGACCTTGGCCAAAACTGTGTTACTTAACCACGGCAGGGGATAAACAAGCATTGCTGACGGGGAAGGAGAGTCGTCTTTGCTTCATCGCCCCCTCCTGCGATCGCAGTTTTCGAGGGTGACAAAATCTAAAGCTAGCATTTTTTCAACCTTTTTTTTATGGCACACAGAAAGTTAGCCGGCCCCTTATTTTGATATGATTTACTATCTATTTTATGTGAATTACCTCTCGGGGGATTACGGTAGTGTTTGCTATTTGGTTTGATTTGCCGCTCACTTTTACTTTTCAATGTATTTGTGTTTTTTGAACATTAGGGAATTGAAAATAGTACCAGGAAAATGCTTAGAGAGTGCAGGTGAGCCGGCATTATTGAGCATGATGGTAACCCTGAGAATGAGGACAGAAAAAGGCGGACGGACAGCGTCTCAAAGGGGACAGTTGCTGTCTGTCCCTTTTTAACGAAGAATGTGTCTACATCGCTGAGGAAAGCGGTACATAACACCACGGAGATAGTTGCGAAACAAGTATCTTGTGTGTCAAGGACAATCTATGAAATAATGCATAATTAAGAAGAAATAGTAATTATTTCAGAAGAAAGAACAAAAGTCTAAAGTAGCTTCAACAAGGATCGAACCTACGACCCCGTAATTACGAGCCCGGCTCTTTACCGCTGCGCTACAGGGAAGACTTGCGGAGAGGAAACGACCTCTCCATTCACTGCTTTGAAACAAACCTCTCTACTCGTTAGCATTTGGCAGTCACATTATACAGTGAGTAGAGAGAGAGGCAGCTAGCTTTGCATTTAACCACTGATCATTTGAAACAGAACTTGGTGCTCTGACCTTGCCGTGCACTCTCGTCTCCTCCTCTCCTTCAGTTTCTACAGTATCCATATAAGCAAAAAAAAAAAAAGAATTGAAATACATTTACATATTTCTCTAATGCAAAATTAGAGCGCAGCTCTTGAAATATTTTGATTTTGTGATATACCGTGCTAAAGAATTTGAGGAAGAAATATCTATATACCGTAAAATACCGGGCAAGCGCCCACTCAAAATTTGTAGATAATCATGAATTATCACTTGTCCGGTCATCAATTCTACATATAAATGTACTGTGCATATTTTCTCAGATCTTACAAATTTGGGTATGGGCACTTTATGTGGAATGGGAGGAAGCGCAGTATTCTTCGGTATACAAATATAGACCTCATTCCCCTGCATACATAATATAAATTATATATATATATAATATTTATATATTATATTTACCGTAATATCCCGAGACATCTCCCACTCCGCTTTTTGGGCGAACATCGATTTCCAAAATAACACCGAGTGATTTCCCACCTTTACAAATACCCCAACGCAGACTCCGCGATCCGAAAACATTCATCCTACCCGAATGGCTCAGCCGTGGACGTTATGGTTGAAGGATGTCCGTGACAAAGTAAAACGAAGGAGGGAACAACATTTTACTTTGTTCACGCATTTCCTCCCTGATTTCCTCCCTTCTCAAAGGGAATTTTCCAGGCTTCTGCTTTCGCCACATTTGGGGGTCTATGTGAAATCAATATTTTGCCCAAAAACGCGTCGGGGCGATCTTTCAGGGGTAGGCATTTTTTTGGAACTTTACGGTATATTCGATGGACGAAACATCTCGTAGGACTGAGTAATGCCTCAAACCAAGCTTTGTTGGCCATACGCACCGAGCGACTGCGCTCGCTTTCATAATTTTCGTGGGAATGACGCCACGATGCACGTGCCGCAGCCATGCTGGCTTGGCTTGGCATGGCTTGGTCTCTTAATCGGCTTAACCACCTGGCGGCTCATTGGCACGCCGCGCTTGTTCCCTTTTATTTTTTGACCGTGCATATGGTAGATAAAACCGACAAAGTGTACACGGGTGCGATTTAAGCTTGATCAGCATACGAGGCTATTTCAAGGTAAGATTTGTAACGCAGACTTAGATTCTTGTCAGCTTGCCCACTTTATCTTTACTCTTAATTTTTCCCCCCATCTAGATATCCAACTACGTCCTCGAAGTGGAGTGCACAGATGGAGGCACACCACCGCTGTCTTCAAAGGTGCTCGTCAACATCGAAGCCTCGGATGTGAACGACAACGCGCCCCACTTTGCACAGGCCAACTACTCAGCCATCGTTCAGGTACTAGCCACTCCACCCGAGAAGAATCTGCTTCTCTGAAACTAGGGCAGTAGAGATTTGGTTAAAGGGACGCTAAACTCCCAAAATACATTTTAACATGAAACGTTCTTGGGCTAGGTGTTTAACATTTCTTGAAGCCCGGATAAAAGCGTGAACGCAAGGCTCGACACTAATTGCTTTTCGAGTGGTGGGGGAAGAGGCCATTGCAGTAAAAACGTTTTTGCACCAGGTGGGAGTCGAACCCAGGCCGTTTAGATTATTGAGCGAGTGTTTTTCCAGCATGTCACGATACATCGCCACGAGTTCAGGTGCTATTTTGCGGGAAAGCCCTGCGGGGCATCCGCTCTGCGTCTGGCAGATAGGAACTTGACACCCTGTCGCACGTTTCAACGTGAAACATTAGGCTTGTTCGATTGACTTTCACCTTCTGCAGCAGCGCAGAAAAGTGTAGGGCGATGTACTTCCTGTCGTATCTCAATACACATACCGAAAGTACACTGCCCTACATTCTGCACCTGTGCAAGAGGTGCAAGTAAATCGAACGAGCCTATTCTTCGGCATTTCGTGAGGCCTGGATAAAGGCATGGCCACGATGCTCGACATTGATCGGTTGACGGATGGAAGAAGAGGGGTGAGGTGCTCTAAGCTGATTGGTTAACAAGGAGGTCATGTGACCAGAGGGGTAGGCAAGGAGGAGCTCGACCATCTGTGCGTATTGAGGGAGAGGAGCTCGAGAGAATGGAAGGCTCCGGAAGATCACCAGGTTTATCAGCCCGATTAGCGGTAGCATCGCTTCATTCTACCAAACAACAATCAAGCGTACACAGGGTATGCATTAAACTGTCTGACAAAAAGCACCGTGAACATACGTGTCTGGCATCTAGAAACTCAGAGTATAGCTAAACGTTGCCCAAGCAATGCAACACATTTGCCTAGTAATTTGCTAAAATTTTTTGTTTGTGCCTGGAATGAACCTAGAGGCAATCAATAAACAAATATCTACTATTTATCGTGGACAAAAGAATGATCAAGTCATTGAAAAGCACCGTCTCATTACACATAAAATTTGCATCCATCTTTCGATTTATTGATTACACCGTCGTATGCAGAACTGCACTTTACGAGAAACGGAGCCAATGCTCGAAACCAGCCTCGTCATTCTTTTTACAGCAAAGCTGTTATGCGCTAGGATCTGAAAAAAAAATGCATCCTCACATGTCAACAGAAAACTCCCTATTGGTCGTGGCAAGCATGAATAAATAAAAATAAAAAGAGGGGGCAACCAGCGTGAGTTAGCCTTCCTTTGCATTATTTGATAGTGAGGTCCTGATCCCTTGTTATCATCTTTTGGCATCGTCCTCGAAGTCATTCTCGAGGTTGTCCGAGAGGTCGTCCGAGAGATCGTTCTAGGCGTCATCCTCACAGTCGTCCTAGAAGTCGTCCTCGAGGTCGTCCTAGACGACGTCCTTGAGATCGTCTTAGAAGTCATCCTCGAGGACGACTTCTAGGACCAGGGCACGCAATTGATGCCTGCAAAATCTATGTTTACTTTGCTAAGAATGTTTTGCGTTAGAAGAATCGGAGCAGTGTTCATTCTACACATTTGGTGTTTCGTAAAAATGTAAGATGCTCTGTCGAAGTCAATGCGCAGACATTAGAGAAAACAAGCAGCACTTGTCTTATATAGAGGATTTGCTTGAAGAGGAATCTCTTGCATGTGTCAGAGTTATGGCCAACATGTTTGCAAAGAAAGTTGGTAGCTTCTCTCTGAATTAAAAAGCATTAAACTCCCCAAATATATATTTTTTTTAATGGCTGCATATGACATGTATGTCGCTAAACGAGTTTTTACGGGAAAGATATTTTTAGTACATACAATAGTTTTGTCGTGAAACATATCTTGATGAGGTCAAACCCGAAACTGACTTCTGTGTTTTGATGTCGATTTTCAGATAGAAGTTGGTTTCGGTTTTGCAATATGTGTATCACAACACAAATATTGCGGTAAAAAAAGATTGTTGTAAGGAAAAAATTATTTTGTGATGCATGTGTCCATTTCTGCACCTAAAAATCTTCTATGAGACTTTGCTGTTCCTTTAACAAAATGTCTGCATCACTGTGGAGGCTTCTAGAAGACTCCTTTTCAAGTTTACACTACAATCTTAAACTAACTGTGTTTCATTTACGCGACGTTTTTAAAAAAAGAGCACAACCCGACATTTTTTTAACTCCTCCCTCGCAGGAAGGCAAGCCGGTGGGCTTCACTGTGCTCAAATTCACCGTGAGCGACCCCGACTCATCCCCCAATGGGGCCCCCTTTGCGCTGGAGATCGTCTCCGGCAACGAAGACGGCACGTTCCGCCTCGTTCAGACGGACTTGACGCTCCGCACGGCCTCCAAGCTCGACCCCAAACTCCGATCCGAATACGAGCTCGTGGTCCGTGCTTCCGACTCCGGAGCGCCGCCGCTGTCCTCCGAGTGCCGCGTCTTCGTCAAGGCCATCGAAGACAGCCAGTTCCCACCCGAGGCGTCACCCATGGCCGTGTCGGTGACCTCGTACCTGGACGACTTTCCCGGCGGCGTGTTGGGACGCGTCCGGGCCACGGACCGAGACCCCTACGACCAGCTGGCCTTCGAGCTAGCCTCGTCGCACCAGCACCTCTTCTCGGTGGACCGGGAGGATGGGACGCTGATAGCGCTGCCGGGGCTGGACGTTGGCACGTACTCGGTCAACGTGAGTGTCTCGGACGGGAAGTTCACGACGTACGTCGGCGTGTCGGTGGAGGTGGTGCTGGTGAGTGAGGAGGGACTGCTGAACGCCGTCGGGCTGACGCTGGCGGACGTGACGCCAGAGGACTTCCTCCTCACCTACAAGAAGGGCTTCCTGAAGGGCCTCCGGTCGCTGCTCAACGTGCGGCTCAAGGAGATTCAGGTGAGGCATTTTTGGAGGGTGCGTCGTGGCGAGGGCTTATCGGCGGAGCCAAGTGGCGACTTCTGGTTCTCGAACGGGAAAAAGGAACGTCGTGGAGGCCTCGAAATGCCAGCCAACAACTCTCTAAGGCCGTATTGCAAATCCTACTTCTGCAGATCTAGGTTGCTATGCTACTAGTCAATGGAGTCAGTCTATTCCTGTGTGAGTGTCACGTGACCTTTATGATGGACTCAGTGATGTGCGGGGCATGTAATCGTGGAATACATTCACTTCGCTGGATTGGCTGGTTGTCTTGTAGCACTTGCTGTGGTCCACTGTAAGGTAAAACAGAGTGGACTGGGACGTCGTAAACTTGCATCGAACTTGGGTTTCGACTGGTTCAGCATACCTTCAAACTCCTTGCGAAATTCGAACAAGTTTGATTTTTTAAACAGTGTTTTAAGTGAGACTTTGCATTAAGGGGCTCAAGACGCAGTAGCCTTTGACTCTGTTAGGTTGAGGTACGACCGCAAGTCACCGAGACATTCGTGATTCGTTTCGAGAATGGCAGCCAGTTCAAGGTGTGGTTTGGCATGCAGCTTATGATGTATGGATGTCCCGTTAAATTGATTTCATATCTTAAATCATAGCCAGATGTGGTTATTCTTTTCCTTTTATTCTTTTAAAGTTGTGATAAGTGCATGGGCATTTATCACAATGAATAGCCAGGTTGCCCAAGGGTGAGTTCTTTTTACAGACGATGAATGCTCGCTTACCTTATCGATTGCACATCTTCTCGTTTGGCCCATGTATGCTTTTCCGCAGCTCATTGCGATTTCATGAACAACTGAAGATGAGCAGGCCTGTTGGCTGTTGGCCGCTACTCTGGCTTTCAGAAGATTTTTTGGTTTTGAAAACTTCAGCATTGTTTTTTTTTTCCTTTATTTTTATAATAAGTGTGGCAATATACGTGATTGTAGAAAACTAAGAAGTTTTGCATTAAAATGGAAAGATGGACTAGTTGGTACATGATTCTTTAAACAGTATATGCCATAAATCAAGGACAGAGGGTGAGGGACACAACACAGATGCTGTCATTTATGCATCTTATGCATCTGCGGTCCCGCCTACAAGCTAATGTTGTATGATTCATACGCTTCTCGCCATAATTTGCTTTTAGGCGTCCCAAGAACTTTTTTTAATGCGAAAGCATTAACTATCTTACGGAGCGGAGCTGGCGGCATCTATAACCACAAAAAAACGTGAAAGAAATGCCCATTCTCCCATTGGCTGAACAAAACGGCTCCTAGATAGCCATTGCTTGGCCGCCGCTTTTGTGGCAGGCGTTGCTGGAGCAAGGTGGGGGGGGCTGCGGTTGCTTCACGAGAGCGCGCGCTCAGCCACCGGCTGCAACCTCGGCAATACCGAAACTTGGCCGTCCACATCAGTACACTTCAGGCGAACTAAGGGAGCGGAAGAGCAACATTCATGCTTTCACATTCACAACTCGTAAGAAGTGCTTAGGTGTCCTCTGAATTTTCTTTATTCTGTTCGCACACATCCCGAGTTCAGGTAGCTGAAGAGACACGCACCAGCGAAACCACGTCGGCAATTCTCCCGAGCTCGCCCGCAAACAGAGCCCAGCTGAATCATAGCCTCCTAGTTGAGTAGAGGGGGATGCCTCCGACCCTTTTATTCTTTTAAAATTGTGATAAGTGCATGGGCATTTATCACAATGAATAGCCAGGTTGCTCAAGGGTGAGTTCTTTTTACGGACGATGAATGCTCGCTTACCTTATCAATTGCACATCTTCTTGTTTGGCCCATGTATGCTTTTCCGCAGCTTATTGCGATTTCATGAACAACTGAAGATGCACATTCTACGTACTGCTTAGAACATTTCTTTTGACACATGTTGTCTTCATCCTTTTTGTTGTCGGTTTTCGAGCAGAGGCCGGAAAGTTTTGAGGGGGCCGAATACACCACTGGCGCTTCAAAATGGGCCTTCACTTCCTTAAGGTTGTGTGATAGCTTATAAATATATGAAGGGTGTCACAAAAAAAAAAAATTTGCACATCCACAAAAATAAACTAGGCATCACTGAACGCTCATTCTCTGCCCAAAGGTAGCGCTAGAGGTCACAACCAGATGCCAAAGTTTCACCCCGATCCAATACCTTAATCGAAAGTTATAAGTGATTTTCTGAAAATCACTTATAACTTTTGATTAAGTCATCGGATCGGGCTGAAACTTTGGCATCTGGTTCTGACCTCTGGCGCTATGTTTGGGCGGATAATGAGCGTTCGGCAATGCCTAGTTTATTTTTGCGGTAAAAAAGAATGTGTTATTTTTTTTTTTTTGTGACAACCTATAGAATATGTATATATGGAACGATATGGACCTGTTTTATGGCGCATATTGTTTAGGCAAATTTTGTTTTTGAGCTTTTGCTTGTGCTCCACTCCTACCCAAGTGCTAGCTTTGGCAGAGTTTTTCTTCAGGGACACCACCCACGACAATGTTTGTGCCGTCAAGGCACAAAGCACATACCAGTTTACCTGCGCGACATCACTGCGAAGCAACACACAGTGTGCGTCAACCTCCCGGCATTCTCGCCGACTTGCAGGTGATCAGCATTCAGCCGTCCGCGGAAGAGGGTGGCGGAAGCCAGCCCGCGCAGAGGTCCCGGAGGAGCGCGGGGCAGGACCTGGACGTGCTGTTTGCGGTCCGCAAGGGGGCCCACGGCTACTACTCCGCCAAGTTCCTCAAGACCCGCTTGAAGGAGAACCTGCCACTCGTGGAGGCTGCGTCCGGATTGCGGATCGTCCAGGTATTGCACACCATCACCACCCTCCCCAAGCCAACAGCCAGCTCTTTTTTCCAGCTTTGGACGTTTCCATTCTGAGGTGGGACACAGAATGTGTTATAGACGAAACGCTAAACCACGCAACCGGTGCAGTGTTAATTGTCTTTGTCTTTTGTCTTTACCTGTCTTTTGCCTTTGGCAAACTATAAACATTATGTTAGCATGGTGTTTCGCTTTTCTGGGGTTATTTATAGTTTCTAAATTAGATGCCCCACGTGGAAGTTATGTGCAAAAGGGTCGCTTCGCATGTTGGATTTTCAGGGGATAGTGGCAATTAGAGCGCCGACTCTTCCGATCCAGACTTCTAACGCTTCTCAGAACTGAATTCAGAGGATGGGAGCTTACTATCCGATGGAGAGGCTCCGTTAAGTACCGACTGCGATTCGGAATCCAAGAGCGTCAGTATGTCGTGCAGGCGGACATACCAAAATGAAACCGAAGGGGACAACGTTTTGCCTTCAATATTTTCTTCTGACGCTTCTAGACCAGAACAGCTTGCAAAAACTGTGCCTGCTCTTGTTAGATAATTCTGTGCACTGACCCTTTCTCTATACTATTCCTTTAGAAACAAAGCCTGACCACTGGAAAATCGTTTCTGAAAGAAAAAAAAAAAGAAAAAACTCAATTGTCAAAGGGATAATGATGTTGAGTAATTAATGATCCCTTTAATTAATTATGAGAATAATTAGTGATAATTGATGTTAATTAAATAATTAATCTGAAGCTCAGAAAGCACATGTATATATTAAAACTTGGGTTTGGTCTGGTTAGTTCATTACTGAATAAAAGGTTAAAAAGCACGAGCATCCGAAGAGAACAAAGAAAAACACGCACGGGACAGGCACCTGTCCTGTCGTCCATGTTTTTCTTTGTTGTCCCCATTTGTTCACGCTTTTTAACCTTTTATTTGCATGTATAAACACCCGACATGGCTCAAAACACAGTGCATATTCTATGTTTCACAACTTTATATGCAAGTTTGATTTTCCTTGTGAAATATGGAATCCTGTTTTTCAATACTGTAAAATCCCGAGAGATGCTACGCCACCAAAAAATAACCTGACCCCTATTTTTGACATGATTCGCTATTTCTTTAAAAACACCGAAAGTTAGCCAACTCCTCATTTTCAACCAATTTACTTTCGATTTTAGGTGGGCTATTTCCCGAAATATTAAGGTAGTGATACTGTCAAGACCAATTATAACGAAGTTGGTTCTAACGAAATAGCGGCGACAAGCAAAGCGATCACAATTTCCCATTCCCTTTCGCACTTCGTTAACCGAAGTCGGTTAGTATAACAAAATAGGAGATATAGCGAAGTGATTTTTGATTCCCGTTGACTTTGTTATAACTGGTCTCGACTTATTAATGATTTTGTGATTTAACCCTTTTGGGTGCCCGGTTTTTTTCCCGCACGTCGAACACAAATTTTGGTCTTGGGCAGAAGAACTGAAGCGTGCTTTATGAAGTATATTTATTCATCGAGGGCACATTGATGTTTTGGCGTAGAGATAATTGATGTCTGCATGCCTTGAGCCTGTAATATATTTTGCTTAAAATATACTTTTTGAGACTATGCAAAATGGCACCCTGACCTCGAACTCTACAGTAATTTTTTTCGAGTGGCTTTAACCAACATTTTTTTTCTTTTAATTTAGAACTGGGACTTTTCTTATTTAGTTTATTAGTAAATTAGTTTATTACTAATTTTTACATCTCAGTGTTTGCCATAAAGCATGAGACTGAAAGGTGTAGGTTCACGTTTCTCGAACAACAAAGGAGCAAACCGAGACGAAAGTCCCCTAAACAAAACTTTCCGCATGCCATCAACGGATGCTATTACGAGACAAAACCTTGCCCTCACTATGCATCAATGGGGTGGCTCTGATCCGCTAAAATGGGGCACTGTTCCATCAATGCCGAGATTGGAAGGGGGGCGACCTCGAGGCAGAGTAGAATCCCTGCTTTGGGTGGTCTTCTGGTGCCAGAGGGGGTGGATGAGAGGGAGGTTTGTCTGACAGGTGGCGGAGGACCGGTGCACGTCGACTCAGTGCGTGCACGGGGAGTGCCTGGACCACATGGCGCTGGACCGGACGTTTGCAGTGAGCGTAACCACGGACCAGTTCAGCTTCGTGTCGCCCCAGCACAGCCGCCGGCTGGACTGCCAGTGCAAGCCCGGCTTCGGAGGTGAGCACCAAAACTCCCCCCCCCCCCCCCCCAGCTTTGCCGGTCGCCGTTGGGCCACGTCCCCATTGGATCGCATCGCCGTTTGTTGGATCTATATTTGACGTCACAGGAGGGAATAACATTGTTATTTGTCTGGATGGTTTAAGCCAGACTTCCGTACAAGTTACTTCTTGCCAAAATTTAAAATGTCTGCATAGAAATCGGGCAGCATGAGGGACAAACTTCAACATGGTCCAATTTCGTCGAGAGTTTGGAAGTTTGTCGAACCAGTTGAACCTCGGATTCAACAAACATTCGTGAGATCCCTGTTAAAGACCCTGCTGCACACGTTTCCTACTGCTTGAGTCTGTGGTTAGAGTTCCACTCATCATGCTCTATGTTCAGTTCTGCCTTCGCTACAAAAAAACGCGTAAACTGAACTGCAGATGCTCATACCCAGGTGTCTTAAACAGCAGTCACGCACCTAATCCATTGTACAGCAGACTGTCTGTAGACTTTGTCTGATGCGTTTTTCTTCCCTGTAGGACAGTTCCCTCACAATGGTCATACAAAAGCTTTCTACAGATATGTTCAAAGCCTACATACATAGATAATTTTGTCACCGGGCCTGTGGCGAACACCATATCTTTTGAACGACGTTTGAGGAGCGTGACTGGAACCACGTGATGTCACAGTGTCACGTGATGTTGTGGTGTCATGCGACACCTTAATGTAGGGAATATCATTTGCTAAATCTAAATGCAGAGGCATAACTGTGCAGCAGTGTGCGGTGCCCCAACTGTCGCCCAAGCTAACTCTCGCCGAAGCCAACTCCAATTTAGCCTCGAAAAAACTGAGTGGAGCATTGCCAGCTGCCAAACGCCCGTGCCACGAGGTCCGCCGACCACACGACGGAATTCTAAAGAAAATGGGAAGAAGGGGGAGGAGCACTTTGAGACGCGTCAATGGGGCTTCACTGGCTGCAAAACTACTCAGACGAAATGAAAAAAAAATTTAGAGCAAATAGCTAGGCAATTGTGTTGCATACATGAAACGTTCTATAGTCCGGTGCAACTCAAGAAGGTAGGGCAAAGGAAAGGAAGGCCGGGAAGGAGGAAGCAGACAGGACGCTGGAGTGAGGAGGAGGTTTCCCCCACTCTTCTCCAGCATTCCATCAGCTTCCTCCTCGCTGGCCTTCCTTTCTCTTGCCCTACCTCTTGAGTTGCAACAAACTACAGCATCACAAATGATTATATCATCATTCAGCAGCGTGTCTTGCACGTTCAGCCAGACTGACGTTCACTGCGCTCTTTGTCGGATAATTTAACGCGTGGCATGTGTATACTCAAAATGAAAAACCTGTTGATATTCCAGGACCTTCTAACCCACTCCTCCTCTCCCACCTCGCTTCCTTGCCTACCTCTCCTCCTCACTCCACAACTGGTTGCACGACCTCCCCGTTAACCATTCGGCGTCGAGCGCCTCACCTCTCCTCCCATCCGTCGACCAATCGGCGTCGAGCCTTGCGGCCACGCTTTTATCCGGGCTTTACGGAAGGCCAAACACCTTGCCAAAGAATGTTTCACGTTAAAAAAGAAACGGCACAAAAGGAACACGTGGCGATGTTGACATGGTGTCGTGTGCCTGGAAGGCTGACACTAAAGTTACGCTGTGTTTCACTTTAAGTCCAATTGCAGCTGGCGCTACGATCCGACAGAGCCAATTGATCAGTTCCAAAAGTGTGTTGCCACGGCACTGGTTGTTTTTGCACATTTTCTGTCACAAAGTAAACCAATCACGCACTACAATCGTGCCGCGATCTTGTGCTTTTTTTCGCTAATGAATATAGTCTTGCCAGCTACAGCAAACCCACAAAGACGGCGAACGCCATGACGACACAATTTTAACTCGGTTCGATCGGCTCCTTTGGATTGTGGCGTCGGCCACGGTCAGTCCGCGAATCTAGGCACAGCGTCCACCACACTCCTCATAAAACGCAGCTCCGCGCATGGAACACAGCCGCAAACTTTCGGCCCGCTTCCCTCGCAGGGCCCAAGTGCGAGATGGCGGTGAATGAGTGCTCGCGCAAGCCGTGTCCCCCGGAGCGGCTGTGCGTGCCGGACTCCTCCAGCCTGGGCTACAGCTGCCAGTGCCCCGAGGGGAAGACCGGCCCCGGCTGCACCCTCGTCATCACCTGCCAGGACCCGGACTGCTACGAAGGTGACCACAGTTCGCACTTCTTTTCGGTCTGGAACGCGAAGGTCCGACAGAGATCCATCCGGTTGGGGCGTATGTTGCTTTTGCTTTTAGGTTTGTGACGTTACGGCCAGACGTGATTAAGTACGCACGTAGTACTCGCAGCAATCGCGTCCCTGCACCATCTGATGTCGAAGTGTCACGTCGGAGCGTCGCACGACTTCACGTCGCATGACACCACCAAATGTGCCAAGCCAAATTTGCATTCGTGCCACACTAACCCAGTGCATTCCGTGTTTCTCGACTTTATCCGTAGAATAAACAAACATTTAGTTCAGATGACGAGCTGAACGAAATGAGTGTTATTTCTATGGGTAAATTCGAGAAACCTTAGCGTGTTTCGAGATGTGCTCGGTTAGCGTGGCACGAACGCAAATTTGAATTGGCAAGTTTAGTGCGTTTTCGAGATGTGCGGTTTTTTACAATGCCGCAAAATGATGCGGGTGCCCTCTATCGTTGTGCAATTTATTGATTTAGTGTTTTTCGATGATGCTCAGCAATTTTCTAATTGGAACCATGCCCTTAAACACAATTCTAAAAAGTTAATTACGCAAAAATAATTAACAACTTAATTATCCCTAACTTTAATCATTTTCCTAAGTGAGCCCCTGGCCCGGGACCAAATTGACACAAGCATTTTTTTGTTGTGACGCATAGTTTTTGCAATATTGAATTTGTCCACTTTTCGAGAAACACCCTGTATAATTCTTAAAGGGGCCCACCAACAATGTTTTGACAGGTTTGAAGTTCGCGCTGAAACGGAGCTCCATCAAAGCAGGAACACCCAGGAAAAAAAATATTACAGAAATGCGCAATATTTTGCGAGTTATTAGCAAATTAAATTTTGCAGAAAACAACTTTAAATAAGCAAAACATTGCGCTTCATGATGTAAAATGAAACAGTTTAGCGATTGGAGCAAAGCGGTTGGCCAATTGGACGCGACTTTGGTTGATAGCCCGTCGGCCCGGTCGGCTCGTCGGCCCGGTCGGCTCGTCGGCCATTAGGCCTAGTAGCAACCATCGTAGCTTTGGGATCGGGTTGCCATCATCGATGAATTTACCGGGCTTATCGGATTTTGAGGGCGGATCTGGGCGTCGCGCTGTACGAGGACACTCCACGCAAGCGCCGCGTCTCTGCCTCAATCCGCTTCGACAGCCGCAGAAGACTTGTCTCCCGCAACTCCGCCACCGGAGCCGCCTCGGCGACTAGGAGGTACAAACTGGGGAGCGTTCCCGTTGGGCACGATATAAGCTGGGTCCCATCGCCGCACTTCACTCGAACAGTGAAAAGTCTGTCACAGCACTAAAAGAAAATAAGGGTTCCCCTCGCTCCTCTTACTGCTTTTAGTTGACCGGGACCAGGGGCACACAAGTGAAAATACGATGCGCGTTGTCTGCACGGACCACTTGTCGTCTGCTCGCGATGGTACGTCGCGGACGCCGCTGGGAGGCGCGCATGAGCGACAAGGCGTTGTTTTCGCCCTTTTTGAACTTTACTTTGCAACTTTATTAGCTCTGTAAAAATGACTTGTTTGAGAAATAATGACGGTTAACGTGTGATATACTTTATTTCGCTTCAAAATTCCTGGGACGGCTCTCGCCAATCACGAAACCCAGAGAATGTGACGTATAGTGAAAGGGAGCGCCGTTTTGTGCGCGCATTCGGCACCTCGCGGCGCCACCGTCGGAGGAGGTGTTTCCGAGTTGTCAAATTAAAATATGATGCGCTAATATTTTCAAACTCTTTCGTTGTCCACTGGGTTTCCGGGGCCACTGGCGTGTAGAAACCGCAAAAAAAAGTCGACGCTCACATACTGTTGGAGGGCCCCTTTAAGCTTGTTAAACTTTATTTCTTAAACATTCAAATTCAACGAGTAAATGTGGTATTTCGTAATGCTGATTTTGAATCTGCAGTCAGGCTTGAAATCTCCTCGTCCCAATAACAGTTATGGCAAAACATACCATGTCTATTAGTTGACCCCTTATGAATTGTTAATGCAGTTTTTTATTACTAGAGATATTGCCACGTTTGTGGCCTAGCTTGGCAGTGCACGCGGCTCCCACGGGGTTGAGCGGGTTCGAAGTCCTTCTAGTGAAGTTTTCAATGTATCACTCGTTGCTTCACTGGATGGTTCCAGTGCATTCTCGTCAGTTATCATAGATTCTAGCTTAGTATCTTCATGAACATGGAACATGTACAGGAGCAGCCGTAGTGCGCTGAATCGAGTCTGTCTTGCTCTAGTGCTCGATCCTGCTGTTATGCCGACGTCGACGCCTGGGACATCGTTTGTTGGCGTATTTATGGAGCATTATATTTTGTAAGGATGCACTTCTGACTTTGAAAGCACCTTTTTTTTAAATCAACAGTTTTGCTATTGTTTGCTATTTTTAATTATAAGCCTGTAAACATTTTTTTTTGTGTGTTTTAGTGGCCCATGTTTTGTGGCTTCTAGTATTGCTAACAAAGATATGCCTCAGACAGCTTATGACTTTTAAAAATACTACCGAGCTCTCTGTGATCACTGTGTGCCATTGATTGATTGATTGAAAGTTTGACTGAGAAAAAGGTCTCAGCCGGTGACTTTCGAACTTGAAAAAGGTGGATTTTCAGTCACAAATATATTTTTTTGATCCTTGTGCCCTTGTGGGTCCTGTTTCTCGGAAACCAAATTGGGCATAACGTGGGCTTGGGCATTTGTCATGTGTGGGAGAGGTACAGTGCCAATCCTGGTACCGATTCGAGTGCTGATCTAGCAACATCACTGCTAATCCCAGTATCAATCCCAGTGCCAATCCCTGTATCCATTCTTTGGTCAGTCAGTGCCGTTCCTGGTACCAGTGCCATTCCCAACCTTTGTGCCAATCTCTCCCAGAGAAACACCCAATGTCGTTTGGGGGCAAGAGCTATGCCCACTACTCCCTGGTGGCCCCCATGGACCGGAGGCTGACCCTGGCTCTGATGCTGCGCACGGTCCAGGCCACGGGGAACATTGTGTATTCGGCCGGTGCAAGGGACTACAGCATCCTCGAGGTACCCAATCTTCCTTGCTTGGATGCCCCTTCTTCGTTGGCCATCTTGACAGAGTACTGTCAAGGTCTGTTATAACAAAGTAATGGGAGTCGGAAATCACTTCGCTATATCCGCTGTTTTGTCATAACCGACTTCGGTTAGCAAGGTGCCAAAGAGAATGGAAATTCGTGATCGCTTCGCTATAACCGCTATTTCGTAATAACCAACTTCGTTATAACCGGTCTCGACCGTACAGGAACCAAGGACAGAGGTCCTTTATGTCCCTATAGTCTGTGCCTGAGAAATTGTGAACTAATTCAAATAGCAACAGAAACTTTATTGGGAAGGTCTTTCGGGAAGAGACCTCCCTTTTTTTAAGTGTGAACACTTGACAGCTGTAAAGCGCTTCTTGTATTGGGGTGCCACACGAAAGGAGAGAAGAACCAACCAGGAAGATAACAAGTTCAAGTAGTGGGTCGCACGCGTGCGCAATAAAGCAATGAGAGTACACAAAAATTGCTTCCAAAATCACTGTGCAGGTTGTCCTTAAAATGCGAGAGCACTTTGCGTTGTCTCGTACCGCGTAAACATTTTTTTATACAGCTGCTTAGGGTCTTCCGCGAAAATCACAGAAATAGTTTTAGTCGACAGTTACGAAGTCTTTCATCAAGTTGAAAACCGTCATCTAGGCACAAACAGCGTTATCCTCCAAATAGATAGATTGCGGAAAGCCGGCTATCCAGAAGACCTTCTGACAAATATTCTAAAGAGGCTTATTACCTCCTCCAACACACCTCCTTCTACACCCCGACCCCGCCGAAAACAATTTGCCGTCATTCCGTACACGCACAACACTTCACATCGCCTCAAGGCGCTCGCCTCACGTTTTGACGTAGGACTCCTCTTCAAGTGCAAATTCAAACTGAAGCAGATGTGCCGTCAGGTCAATAATCCTTCCCCTCCAAATCCCTGTCCCAAGAAACATGAAAAGCAGTTTGTCTCTTGCCGGAGAGAGGGAATCTATTCCATTCCTTTCTCTTGTGGGGGAGAATATATCGAGCAAACGGGCCGGTGCCTAAATGACCGCCTGAGGGAGCACTTACGAGAGGTCGCCGATCCCAGCGAGGAAACGGTGCACCCGATTGCAGCACATCGCCGCACATGCGGAGGATGTGAGCCAAGGTTAAAAAAAACGCGCGTGCTCGGGCGCCATTCTCAGAGATTCGGCAGGGAAGTTATCAAATCTTTCACGATAAAAAGATAAACTAGTATTGAAAACCAGTTTTCACAATTTTCTGATCTAACCGCCCACTTCCTCAGGATGGGCCTCCCACGACCAACCAACAACTTATATAGCATTACCGCAATAATATCATCTCTCTCTTACTACAGCGACATAACCATAATATGTGCGTAAACATAATGAGACTTTTGTTAACTGTACAGTAAACTCTCACTTCAGCAAACTTCAAAGGACCCAAGTAAATAGTTCATTTAACTGAAAGTTCACTGAACTGAATATATTATCACTACAGTATGGAACAGCATAGGGCACAGCATACATTGAGTCAAGAGTGCGACTTGCACACTCGATGCGAATGACACCATAAATGCAATTTATGGAGTCATTCGCATCAATATATACAAAGTGCATAACAGTTTTGTTGCTGCCTTTCTCAGTTCGAAAAAAAAAAAGTCTAATTTTTATTTGCACCGGCGTTCATAAAGTGCACAAAGTAACGAAGTTGTCCGGAGAGGCTACGTTTTTTCACATTTCCTCTGGTTGTCTCTTGTTGCTGTGACGAAGCCATACCATAATGGCATCGTCCACTGGCTTAAAATATCCCATGCAGAGTCGTTTCCTGTTGGGATTAAATGCAGTTTCTGTTTCAAGCTTCAACTTTTGCTTCACTATCGTGGACAACTTTGACGGTGGAATCCCATAGTCCAGGGGTGGCCAGGCTGACCTGGCCTAAAAGCCGCAAACAAAACCACGAAACTTCCAAGAGCCGCAAGAGGGGGGGGGGGGGGGGGGGGGGGGGGGGGGGGGGGGGGGCAAACTTTTGTCCAGAACAATAAACGAAAGTCGAACTACTTTCAATATATCCAAGTCATAAGCAGTTCAAATGTATGTAAGGTAATAGTAGCACAAGACTACCAAACCGCAACCTGTCTTTCAATTTAAAACATGTTCCATTTCTCTTTTTGGAGAAGTGCTCGTGTGACCGGGAGGAAGGCGGGGAAGTGGGGGGGGGGAGGGGGGGGGGGAGGTAGGGGAGGGAGTCGCAGCTTGGCCACCCCTGCCATAGTCTTTCGCAGCGTCCACTTGCCTTTGATCGTTGTCCAGACGCTGAAGGTTTTCGAGCTTGTTTGATAAAGACAACCGCTTCCGTGTCGTTGTGCTCATTACGAAAGTGGGTGCACAAACAGCCATCCCACCGTTGTTACCCAAAACTGAGATGGTCGAACGGAGTTGATGATAAAAAAATAACGGACACCCCATGTGGTTCGTTTTCGTCTACCACACCGCTGCTTTGCCTCGGCGGCGCTGTAAACGCCAGCGATGATATGCCGCCGCTGCAGAGGCGGCGGCGGCATAGTATAAGTTTCAATTCAGTACCCCTTTAAAAGTAACTCTGTTGCAAATGTATGTATGTTTAGAGAGTTGGGAGTTAGTCAGCCCCCATGGACGTCTGGTATCTTAGCTGTAGACGAGAAATTCAGCCAGTGCAGTACAACCAATATATCCTTGGGGCTTTAATGTGGACCACGTGCTGGAAATACACGTCCGCACGCCGATACGGTGCTCATCCAGATCGAAATGGGCCATGGTGTGAGTTCTGCTGTCAAGCTTTTGCTTCACGTGCTTTGAGCTGCAATCCACTGACACCCGCAGTCACCGATTCCTCCCACGTTTGTATGTCATTACCTGTGCCCTGCTGGCAGGCAGGGAAGGCAATGGCGCCACTTCCCTGGGATTCAGTGGCTTTGGTGTGGAACGCCTGGCACCCGGGCACATTAACTCGTATCGTGGCGCCCTCCGGTGCCCAGGTGGTGAGTGGCTGCGTGCAGTACCGGTTCGACTGCGGCAGCGGCGAAGGCGTGGTGCGAGTGGAGCAGGTACGGGTGAGCGACGGCGCCTGGCACGAGGTGACCCTCGAGCGGCGGGGCAACTTTGCCCGCCTCTCCGTCGACCGGCGCCACGAGGCCTCGGGGGCCGCGCCCGGCGTGCACGACGTGCTCAACCTGGACGGCAACGACCTCTTTCTCGGCGCGGAAGTGCGCCTCGGACACGAGGAGCCCCGCTACGACGACGTCCGCATGGGGCTGGTCGGCTGCCTGGACGACGTGCGCGTGGACGGCGGGCCGCTGCCACTCCACGTGTCGGGGGGCGGGGCAGTGGCCCAGCTGCGACGCTTTGCCAACGTCCAGTTTGCCTGCAAGACTCTCTTCAACCCCGGGGCCTGTGGCAGCCAACCTTGCCTCAATGGGGGCTCCTGCGTGCTAGGAGGGGAGCCCCCAGCACGAGAGTATGCGTGCAGCTGCCTGCCCCGCTTCGAGGTGGGTGCGTCGGTTCCGTTGTTGGCGCCAGAGCGTTTGTAAAGGGATGACGAAACTGGGTTTTACAGGGGAGCTGTTAAGGGCTAGGTTCCCCAGGATCGTGTCTGGTACCAAAGAAATGTCTACACAAACCTCTGGACAGCTACCGCCATCTATAAGTGACAGGGGCAACCAGACAACCAGTCTGGTTGCCGTCGTCGTTCATAGATGGCAGCAACCTTTCCAGCTTCATAGAAGAATGGATAGTTGGGCGAGTTGGCAGCAATTCATCGTAGGAAATAGCGCGAAAAGCTGATGAGGACGAAGAAGAAACACACATGATGAGCACAGTGCACGTCACGTGTCTCTTCTTCGTTCTCTTCTGTTTTGCGCTCTGCTTGCTACGCTCTTATCAGTTTCGGTTTGGACTCACGATGGGTCGGCCATGTGTTCTTTCTTTGGGGAAACAGGACCAGGTGCAAAAAGGGCGGTGACGTATGCAGCAGTGCTAATGGGTTCACAACCGCTGTGAAGCCGCTGTCGCCTCAAGCTCTACTGCATCGAGCGGTTTAAGTTCCCTTACGAAAGAAGAGCCCATCGCTCGCCTGGAAAGCCGCTGCTGAGAATGGAAGCTGCAGCTCCGCTGCTTTTCCTTTTTCACCAGAGTGGAAAGGCTGAAAGTTTTTTAATGCAGAATGCGTTATGCGCTTGGCTCTTTGTTCAACCCTGGCAGAATAACTACACTGGTGTTCTTAAAACTACCCCCCGAGCTCCTTCGCACTAAACAAAATGTTTATCTTGGCTGCGACAAACAAAAAAAAAAGAAAAAGGAGATCATTAATTGAAGTTGGCACCATCCGTCTTGCTCCATTCGACTATTGCAATATAAGTTTTCGCCGCTTAAGGGCTTTCCAATCAAGATAAAAGGTTTTAAAGCCCCTGCTCTAGCTCCACCTTATGAAACACCCTTGCCAGAAAAATGTAAAAGACGAACGAGCAACCAACTCCCGGCCCCCTTTTCAGGGCCCCAACTGCGAGCTGGACACGAACCCGTGCGCGTCGGCTCCATGCCTCAACGGCGGCACCTGCCGCAACGACCCCCCCGGGGGCTTCGTGTGCAGCTGCCCAGGGCGGCTGAGTGGCCGGCGGTGCGACTACGGGCGCCACTGCAGCCCCAACCCGTGCCTCAACGGGGGCGTCTGCGAGGAGGGTGCCCGGGCCCCCGTGTGCCGCTGCCGGGGCTTCCGGGGGGCCCGCTGCGAACAAGACCTGGACGAGTGCCTGCACATGCCCTGCGCATCGGGGGCCACCTGCCTCAACCTACCGGGCAGCTTCCAGTGCGTCTGCCCCATCAACGCCACGGGTCAGTCGGTCAACCGATTAATCAGTCGTAGTCGGAAAGCTACCAGTGCATCTGCCCCATGAATGCCACATGTCAGTCAGTTGACCAATCGACAAATCCTAGTCGGGGAAGCTTCCCGTACATACCCCCATGAATGCCACGGGTCAGTCAGTCGACCAATCAGTCATAGTTGGGAAGCTTCCACTGCATCTGCCCCACCAATGCCTTGGGTCAGTCGGTCCATCAATCAATCAATTAATTGTAGTCTGGAAGCTTCGACTACATCTGCCCATGAGTGCCACAAGTCTGTCAGTCAATCAATCAATCACAATCGGGGAAGCTTCAAATGCGTCTGCCCATGAATGCCATGGGTCAGTTCGTTAACCATTCACAGTCAATCAATCACAGTTGGGAAGCCTCCAGTGTGTCTGCCTCATGATTGCCTGTACCAGTCAGTCATTCAACCAATCAATAAATAAATCACAGTCGGGAAGCTTCCAATGCATTCGCCCCATTCTGCATTTGCAGAATATACTACAGTAATACAGTTGAACCTCGATTTAGCGAAGTCACCAGGACCCCCTAATTATTTCGTTAAATCGGGAACTTCGTAAAGTCGAGAAAGACATTCTTCGGTATAGGCTGCGCGGGGAATCCGAATTTGTTCGTTAAATCAGGAAACTCGTAAAATCTTGTTTCGTTAAATTGAGGTTCAACTGTACCTCGTTAACTCAAAGTCATAAGAACCGTGAAAAAATTCGAGATAAGCGAAATTTCGAGATAAGCAAAGTACCGGAATTTTTCACCTCTGATCGCGCAATGTTCTAAATAAAATTTCTAACAATCGCGGCAACATCAACTTTTCTGATGAGAGCAACTTTCCTCTCAAGCGTCAATGATTTGTACTGTTTAGGCTGCGCCTTCTTCTTGGTCAATCGAGCCATGCGCCAACGTCGGAGAATTCACAACCGATGATGGAATTGAACACTTGACCCTTGCTTGTATGGCCGTTGAGAGACATCAAAACGCACAAAAAAAAATGGGGGACAAGCAACAAAGAGCAGCAACACTCGAAAGGAACGAGTCACCTCTGGGAAACACGAGACTGACGACGACCACCGGACCCGGGAAGGGAAACGGAAGAACCCAAAAGCAAAGAGAAAACGAAAGACAGAGCGGAACAAAACGCTGGAGGGAAAGGGGGCACCGAACACCAGGCATCCCGGCTTGCCCTTAGCTTGTCCAAATTTTTTTTTTGCGGCAGTTTTGTTGTTTGTTGTGGGTTTTTTTTTTTTAGATTTTCGCAGACAAGATTTTGAGATATCCGAAGTCCGTCCTGGAAACCTTTCGAGATTAGCAAAGACAAAATGCATTGTGCCTATGGGAGTTCATTTCATGACAAGGAAATTTTACGACTTTAACCACAATTTCGAGATAGCCGTGTTCGAGTTAACGAGGGATTACTGTAGTTTAGGCAGTATTGAAAACTATACTTCAAGTCAGTTTAAAAAACTTGTACTTTTTCTGAGTATGCGCCTGTACTTAACGTAAAATGTGTTTTCTGGTACTTTCCAAGGAAAGTAGGGACAGCTCCCGACTTAAAAGGTATGTTCTCCAAATTTGATATTGTTAATTTCGTATCATAAAACGATGCTATGTCAACAAATAAGTGCATTATAAGTTTTCACAACCCCACGTAATACCTAGCCAGAGCCCCTAGCAACCGAAGATTGCCGACGACGTCCCTCTTTGCCAGTTTTGGCACCGCGCAGTCAGGGTCGGATTAAGGTACGGGCTAAGGGGGCTGCAGCCCTGAGCCCCAGGCTGTCAAGGGGTCCCATGCTGGCCCCTGAAAATTAAAAAATGTTAGTCGTTTCTTGTTTTTTGTTTATTTAAGAAAGTTTAGCCAGAAAGCAGAAGAAAAACTCCGAAGGGCCTCTGGCGCAATGGCCTTCTTGTTCTCTTTTCCTCAACAAGGAAACAAGGATGCCATAAAGTTCCCGTCTCTAGATCGGCTGGCGTTTGTGAGCGCGTTGTGCAAGGGCGCGCCAAAACAGCAAAATTTAACACGGCCTCCCATGCCCCTTGTTAGTTTTTATTGTATTCTTTTATTATTGGAACTTGATGGAAGGACGGTTATGGAGCTTTCTTTTGCACTGGGGCCCCCTTAGCGTGTTTTACGGACAATTGTGGGCAGGAAGCTAAGCAAGTGTTAAGCAAGCAACGCAGATGGTTCACACGTGTTGTTTCAAAGTTAGAACCTTTTCGTGAAACTCCATATGGAGTTTATTCCAGAACAATAAGTTTGGTACAAGCGAAACGCTGACCGTAAATCTTCCGGACACCGTTTACAGAGGCGTTTCAAGGAGCCGGCTCTTAAGACGCCCCTCAACAGTTTTCGATGGGTACTGACTGCAAGGAAGTGCTCTATAGAGTCGATATCTGGACTACCAGTGCAACTGAACACTCTTCCTTCCAGCGACTGATACGAATACTGCAATGGTTTCACCAACCTCTGAGGTATAACCTCTTATTTTTAAACGTTGAGTCACAGAACAAAATGGCCGCCGAGGTCTAAATTAAAAGAACATTTAAAAAGAACAAGATTAGTCCTAAATCGGATGCGAAACATTTTTCCCATTCAAAAAGACAGCGTGTAGATACAAAAAGAAAACATCTTCTCGATTCTCATGATAAATTCTTTAAATGCACATGTGCCCGAACGACAGCGGTTGATGTCTTAGAATCGCACGCAGTTTCTCCTATGCTTTAAATGTGGAAGTCTGTTTTTGTTTGCGAAACGAGGGTTCAGTTATTAGAAGAGCGTTTACGAAGTAGTTTGATCCCGATAAAGACTGCTTCAACCTACGAAATTTCTTTCTTGCCTATGTCACTTCCTTCCCTGTTCACACCAGTAACTAATTAACAGAGGGCTAGTTGGAAGTTAAAACACTTCCAATAATTTGGAACAATTACAAGAATAAGGGCTCTAGATTTTCGTGGCAGTTGTCGATTTATTACCATTTAGGGGAAGCGAAATTAGAAAGAGAAATTTGCAGGTACCTTTTCGGTTCCTGCATAACTCAATTCATGTGTGAATAATGGTGTCACTTGACATGTTAGCAAGAGGGTCACCTGTGCTACAAGTCGACATCTTGACCAAATTGTATAAACTAGCCCGGGCATGTACTCTATGAATCTAGCTGTAATTCAAGTCAAACAAATTGATGAACGGAGTCAACATTTTAAACGGAAGCAATTTAGTGTTTTTTTTTTGTTGTTGTTGTTTTTGTGGTTAAGTTGCAGGATGTGAACAACAAATCCTAATATTTTCCGCAATGTTCATTTGATTTCATTTTTGTACCTCAAAATTACTGTGTTGTAAATTGCTAGAGCGTTTGATTATTTGCAAAGTAGCTTCCAAACAATCGCATCCGCCTCAATGCCAGCAAGGAAAACTTGAATTCCATTGAATCTACGGATTTAAATAAGGCTCGACAATAATCATACGATGAAACATATCTAGATTTAACAAGTTCAAAAATATACATATTGCTGTCGTCATCGTTACCTCCACCTCCACCATCATCACCACCACCATTATCATAGGTAGAGGCCTCATAACAGCCTCAGCCCAGGGCCCCCAAATGCCTTAATCTGGCACTGCGGACAGCGGGGGATGGCAGGTGTATCACAGGGGTGCGTGTCAACCCACCCCGGCCACCTTGTTCACGCTGCTTTGATGCGACAGTCTGCAGATGGCTCATTACAAAATATTAACAGGACATCTACTAGTGCAAACTACCATATAAAAGGAGCCTCAGAGAAGGCTCGCAATGCCCTCTGTTTGTCGTCATTCCAAGCGCTTGCATGCCTAGCTTCCTTTCCTTCCACCGCGTGGCGGTCCCGTCGCGCGTATCTAGTTTCCTCCGGCTTCTTAGGGGTGGCGATAGTCCTCGACATCTGTGTGCATACCTTTTGTTACTATGACCACCGATCAAGGTAATAAATGTGTTTGCACCTTTGTTCAAAATTCTGTGTCACGTCTGTGTTGTGTGCTAGACAGCTTCGCTGGTCATCCACCTTCAGAAGGTGGAATGGCTCATGATTTTTTCAACATTGTTGACATTGTTGATTATGACTATTGTAAAGTACCGCAATAGCACCCACTTTGTTCAAGAGCCATCTATTAACATTTCCCAAACTTGGGAATTCGGCATGTGATACGTGAAGCACCCAATTTTACCAGACAAGTGACCATGTTTAGATCAACCCAATGTTCAGTGAAAGTGGAGTGGGCACTCGCCCAATATTTTACAGTAGATGATATGGATTTTGTGAAACACAGGTTAGGTTAATTATGATTTATCTAGGATACAATTGCCTTTGTACGCTAATCAAGCAGGCACTTTTCAAGGCGTGCTTGCTGTGTAGGAAAATTTTACGTGCCAAATATGCACCGGGTGCAAATCACAGTACTAATTTACTCCCCTCCCCCCCTTCTCTCAGGTCCATTGTGTTCGGACCGCCATCGCAGCAGCATGGTGGGCTCGCTGTTGCCGACACCGCTTCTCGAGATGGTGGTGGTGGCTGCGGGGCTGGTGCTCCTCTTCGTGCTGGGCACCCTGGTGGCATGCTGCTGGAAGCGCCGCCGGAAACAGCGTCCGCCCGGTGGTCGCCACTGCACGGGCGCGTTTGGTCACCACGGGGGCCACCCTTTAGAGGCGGGCGTCGGCAGCGAGATGACGGTGAAGAACTGCATGCTGGGCACCAAGGACAACGTCAAGCGCATGAGCAAGGTGAGATACGCGGGCAGGGTGGCGGCGCAAGTGCGGCACCTGGAGCATGTCTTCCGCCGGCGTTTAGCGTCTCATCCTGCCAATACAGTAATCTCTCGTTAAGACGAAATTGCTTTTATTTTAATTATCGCTCTTATCGAAGTTCAACGTGGTCCCAATCGAAATGCAGGCATTTTTAACAAGATTATTTTAATTATATTTGTGGCCGACTACGCTTATTACGAAGGCCGCGGTGCTGAAAGCACGCAAGCCTACACGAAGGCGCACAAAGACTTTTGCGTTCTTCCCCCTTCTCCATCGAGGCAAACGGCAAACTGGGAAGACAGAGTAAACGGGTGGCGAAGGGCAGAGCGCGCAGGGCTGGTAGAGTGCTACTTCTGATGCCGATGCGCCAACGTAGGCAGGGAGCAGTGGGAGCATTGTCAGTGTTCCGGCGCTACTCGCGGCACCCACTGCCGGTGCTGCCCAACTTCTGTTGGAATCGGGTCAAGGGAGCAATGGAGCTCGGAGGAGATCATCCCTTTGGGAGCCCTCCGACGTGCACGCCTGCGTGGGTGCACCTGCAGCGCACTACACGCTCACGTGCGTCGTATGGGAGATTGGGAGTGTTTACTGAAAGTCGCTTAGAACTGCAAGGCTGAGAAAACTGGACGGCCCAAGTTTGAAATTGCCAAAGAATTTGTTTGTCGATGCGGACGTTCCCGTTGTTGCTCTTGCCATGGATGCTGCGATCATAAACTTTGCGTGCGGCCAAGGTAAACACAAAGCAACGTCGGAGATGGACCTCGGCAAACGCCAACGACTGTGGAGACGCGAAACATCCTACGGCTGCTTCGAAACAAAGTGGAGTACAGAGGCGGTGACAGTGTTCTTGCAATGGCTGGAGCAGTTAGAAGACTGATGCCCGGATAAAATTATCGGCAAGCTCTACTTAATTATTCTTTTTACTCACTAAAGCTGCTGCAATATGTTCATAACCAAGGTTTTCCGCAGTGTTTTCGTCCACCTTCAAGGCTGCTGGCACCGTTTTTTGGCTCTGTCGCTTTTATCAAATTCCCCGCTTATATGAAATTTTCGTGCCGTCCTGTTGACTTCATTATAACAATGGATTACTGTATGTCGAAAGTGGCCCCGGAGTGGCAATGAATGGCGTCGCAGAAGCCGGTGTGTCATGTTGTCGAATGCCGCCATCTTAGCTGTTGGCGGTAGAACTCCTGGTAGAAAGTATGAGTGAGTGGGAGCATTGCCAGTCGGCATGGCTAAAGCCTCTCTATACTGAAAGTGGAACCATCAATTGTTCCTCTCACACACTCTCACCCTCTAGAAAAATCTTCCTCTTCAAAGTTCCCCTTGCCACTACCACTGATTGACCGAGCGTTCGTCAGGTTTCAGTTCGCCACTTCCTCCCGCCATTCGTGCCCCCCCGTGTCGTTGCCTCACATTCTCCGGCGGCGTGCATACATATACATACTACGTTGCCAGTCGCTCGTGTAAACTTTTTTTTATCGGTCAGGCGTGCGTCGCGTATTTTGCTTTTAGAAACAACATTGAACTGCCACTGTGACGTGGCATCACCAAATCACTTGCACGTGTTTACACAACGCTCTTTCACGTTTGTTATCTCGTCGTCACTTTGGCATGTAACGGCAAAAACAAAGAGGCACAAGCAGTGATGATATCTTCTGTCGACTGTTTTGGAAACAAGCGAGTCGGCGACATAGAAACTATGGTGTACTTTGCTCTGTTTGTGGCATAATGTCATAGCTTCGCATGCGGGCAATGAGCGCATCTACCTCGACAAGATCCCTAACGGTGGGCACGGTTCCTCGGTCGAGCCGGCTGCAGCAGCACGCAGTTTAGTCAGACAGCACCAGTGATGTGGCAGGAAAGGGGAACGAGTAAATACTAATGTCTGCTCTACTCGAAGATTAGTGTTCAATACAAGGTCTGTACAACTCAGCAACTTCGGGGCACATTTGTGCATCTGTGCTTAATTGATTGATTGATTTTTAATGGCTCAAGGGCCAAGTATGGACAAAGAGCGCCAATGACGTGGTAGGAAAAGAAAACAGGTATAACTAACAGTCGTTACACGCGGTGCAATGCAACATGAAGCTTGCGTAGCCCATAGCAGGCAATGCGTACCCCATAGCAGGCAATGCGTACAAAGTAGATGGAAGATCTTTATCCTGATTGATCACCCTTACAGTAGGCTCGCGATAATTCAAACTCGGATATTTCATACTTCCGTTTAATTCAAACAGATCTGAAAATTTTGGTTGTCCCGCTATGTTTTAATGTATTTATAAGCCGCTTAATTCGAATGGCGTTTTCGCTTAATTCATACTTTTTTGTTCTCGCGGCCCCGCTGAGTGCGCTTCTTTCCAAGCACCGGTGCACCACAGAGAAGCAATACCCGCAAAGCTTGTTTTTGCGAGTGTTGCTTCTCCGCAGTGCACCGGTGCTCGGAAAGAAGCGCACTCAACGGGGCTGAAGCGGGAGCACATTAGCGGAAAACAGCGTTCACATTATGTGCTTCAAGACTAGCAATGATGACCAAGACGACATCGAGGATGAGGAACAGCTTGTGCACTGGCATCATGCTTTCTGGCCTTGAAGCCCATAATGTGAACACCGAGCTGGCGGAATATGCTAGTCGTGACGACGATGTGTGTGTTTGTCGTAATGACTCATTAGAGGACATAAGGAAGTAATGCCAGCACAGTGCAGCAGTGAGAGTGAAGATGATGATGAAGAAAGGGATGACTCACTACCAACTGTCACTTTGAGCACATCGCTCAGCTCCGGAAGTTTCTGTCTGCAAAGGAAGAGTTCCGTAAAGAGCTACTTGCGTTGGCTGGTATTGAAAATTTTGTTTCGAGATCTCGTGTACTGACTAAACAGTCCACAATCAACAACTTTTTTGCCGGATGAATAAACTTAACGTCACAGTTCTTTCCCCAATGTGTTATGCCTGTACTTGCTTATAATTATTCTATGTAGAGGAAACTGGCAAAAATCTGCTTTGTATGTGTAGCTATCCATGTAACAAATCATAATGTTGTCTAGTATCATATTTAGATGAATTTCAGATAATTCAAACTTCTGGTAATTCAAACTAAAATCTGTGACTTCCTGGAGTTTGAATTAATGAGAGTCTACTGTAATTATAATTTAGTATGATTTTCCGAGCGGTGCAGTGGGAATCAAATTCTGAACCGTATGATCCGCAAATCGACGCCTTTGCTCGCTGCCACTAGCAGGATGTGACCGAGGGCGCAATGACTAGAGAGAGAGAGAGAGAGAGAGAATGTGAGGTAGTAGTAGGCGACTGTTGGCACGCAAAGCTGGCTCCGAAAGACAAATCGTCGCTCCCCATAACGTCACGGCGTCGCAGGTCCTGAATAAATTTGTCCTCCTCGTTTCAATCATTCCGGTAGTCTCGGGGAATACAGGGATGTACTGTGCGTGCAATGTATCCAAAATCACCGAAAGCTTTTTGTAACCAAGCATGACAAATTGTAACCTATGCATCACGGATGATCAAGCTAGTCGAATGTTGACAGGAAATCCTAGCCCCATACACGTTCTGCGTAAAACTGGATGCCGCGACGCTATGCGCTCTCCCGGCTCCCCAGGTGAGCAACCTGGAACAGCAGCAGACGGCGCTGGCGACTCCTCCGCTGCCGCCGCGCCCGGCCTCGTACACGCCCAGCATGCAGCAGGACACGGCGCTGAACAACTTCGACACCGTGCGGAGCTACGGGAGCGCTGCCGACGACCTCGAGTCCCGCTTCCAGCCCAACCAGCTCAGGGCCCACAAGGAGCTCAGGGCCAACCTCAGCCCCAGGACACAGGGCCCCCCGTGCAACTCCGCATCCGATACCGCCTCCCTGCACAAGGCGGCCTGGGATGCGGACAAGGAACGCATCTACCTCGACAAGATCCCTAATGGTGGGCACGGTTCCTCGGTCAAGCGTATCTGCTGTGGCACGCGGTTTAGTTGGAGAGCACCAATGATGTGGTAGGAAGGGGGAACGAGTAAATACTAGTGTCTACTCTACTCAATGATTAGCATTCAATATGAGGTCTGTACAACTCAGCAACTTAGTGGTATATTTGTGGATCTGTGCTGAATTGATTGATTGAGTTTTAATGGCTCAAGCGCCAAGTTTGGACAAAGAGCGCCAATGACATGGTAGGAAAAGAAAACAAGTAAATAATGGCTAGGCTACTTAATCTTTAGTATACAATACAATGTCTGTACAGCGCAGCAACTCTGGAATATATTTGAAGGTCTCGATGTCTGTTAAGAAATTAAGCATGTTTTCACAAGATGCAGCGGACACGTGGCAAGGTGGAAGAGAAAGAGGATATGGTGCCTGCTGCTTACAAAGAATGCGAAAGTGGTGTTTCCAATGTCTTTCCTATGCTAAGCACGAGATTAAGGCATGTAGAACTACCACAGTGCACTTGCCACCCTTTTCACGTTCAGGAGGGGAAGTCGCGGTTGTCATGGTCAGCTATTTCAACTCTTAATTTATTTAAGGGCTTTGTCTGAACACCACCAAAAACTGCCCCGAATTGTGTGACACGGATCTCGAGGGAAAAGTTGTACAGGAGGACACACAACCGAGAAGAAAGAATGAAATTCCAAACGTCCTTCAACGAAAATTGAATTTGGGGTCCCCGGATTCAGAGCCTGACGCCCTCTACCGCCAAGCCTAGGGGAAGACTCGTGAAGTGATTGTTACTTTACTACACTGAGGGCTCTGCATGACTACATCATTATCATTGTACGACCATGTTACGTGATTTCATTGTCACGGGAAAGATTCCTGAGATCTGCAGGAGAGTGGGGAAGCGAGCGAAACCGCCAGATTCTGTGTATACCAACTTTGTCCGTAGCCTAAAGGGATACCAACAGCACAAAGTATGAATTTTGTTCTTCTCGTGAAACACTAGACAAAGTGTTTTCAAACTTTTCCTCCTCAAGGAACGCTGATCTCTCTCGATTAATAGCAAGAACCCCATGTGGTTTCTGTATCGATGTAATGATGCGGTGCGGCCCTAAGAGGCATTGCATATTAACACCGGCCAGGTCACACAGCGACCAGTGCACCAGCGGAGGGCACCGTGATGTCAGAGTAAACAGGCACTATGGGAAGTCGTTCCTCGCGACTGTATCCTCCTCGGTGCCCACAATCTCACGGAGGCTTATTCTGGAGAAGACCGAGATTGTAGCCGATACTTTGGTTACACACTAAAAGATCCCAAGGTGGTCGAAATTGATCCTCTATCCTCTGCTGAAACGTGCCAGATGCCCTTCGTTGCTTGGCACAAAAACGACCGATTTTTAGTTTTACTCCTCGGGGCTGCATTCGGGGTGTTTTGTGGATTCTGCTGGTTTTGTTATTAATGAATATGCGTGATTTGAAAGGTCTTTGATTGCTGTGGCACGGCTGAAGTGAGGTGTTTCTCTTCCCCCAGATCTAAAGGCTGCCAAAGCGATGCTTCCACCCATGTCCCAGAACAGGAACCTCTCTGCCCTGCCCGCTAAGAGTCCTCCCAGCGTTGGAGTCAGCTCTGCAACCAGCCTCGCTTCCGAAGATCTGCCAGGTGGGGAACCTCTCTTTCGTTGGTCCCCAAGTCGTTCTTGCCAACATGAGTAGTTGTTGCTGTTTTGTTTTCAGTTTCTCTGTTAAGCCTTAAGGCTAATTCCCACACACTTGCCACTCTTTATGACCGAAAGGACTTAAAACTGGTTTTAGGCCCCTTGTGCACTGCTTACGGCCGGCTCCGTAGCAGCGCAGGCTTAGTGGTCAGGCAATTGGTCAGGCAAAAGTTGGTCACAAGAGTCACAGTCGCAAGAGGCTTAAAACTGGTTTTATGCCTCTTTGGTCGTGAGCAGCTACAAGTGTGCGATCCAGCCTTCAGATGTTGAAGAAAGATAGTGCAGAAAGTTAATTCATTCTAATTTCAAGTAGGTGCTAAATTGGTTTGAATTAAAGTTGGATCCGACGAAATTAAAATAAAGAAGGCCATATTCGATGCCGGGTAGACCCCTGAAATGCTCACAACTGCCGCTTTTTCATTAGCCATAAAGGCATAGCTGTAATCGCCTTCTGCTTGTTGTCTTGGGTAGTAATGGTCGTTGGGACCTGTGCTCGGATGCAGCAGTAGGGTAGGCAAGGTGTGTGACATGGAGCGCCTTCATACCTGGGCTGTATTCATTTTTCCTACTCTTCCCGCCACAAGCAGTTCGCCATTGATGTTGCTGTACTTGATTCCTGGAACCTTTGAGCTGACGCAGAATCGAAGGCGATAACCGCGAGCTAGCTCGTGCTTTTATAACTTTAAAAATAGAGAAACTATGGCATGCCACCCGCAACACGACTCGGAAAGCCTGGACTCGGATGCCAACTGGAAAACAAAGAGAGCAGAGGACGGTTTGAGCTAAACGGGTTGAAGCGCAAAAGCACACAGCTCTAAGCAGTGCATGGATAGGTGGATACGGTAGGACCAGTGGACCTTCTTGAGTGGGGTGCTCGGTGTAAGGTATACATAGGCATGGACACCGCGTGCATTGCAGCTGCCAGTTTAAGTTGATCCTCTCCTCGCCTTGGTTGCAAGCAGCGCCACCAGATACCTTTTCGATCAGCGACTAGTGGTAGGCTGTCGCGAGCCCTTTTTTCATGCTTTTCTTTTAAGAGGTAAGCCTTTTCCTAAAGTTGTTTTCTAAGTGTGCCACATCGTGTAAAATTCAGCGCTAAGCACGTTGTTTAGACAGAGTTTTGACATTGACCCTAGTTTCGTGCCTCGATTGCGTGATTGTGTCAAAGTGGACAGTGAAAAGGTATCCGGCACTATGTTTGAACCTGTGTTCGTGGAGGCCATAGCAGACGCACCGAGCAAAAAGCGCGTGTGCCCGAGTATCATGATCACTTTTTTGTCTTTGTTTATTTATTTTTTTCAGTTGCGCCGTAGGCATAAGCTAATTAGGTGCGAGCCAATAGGACTTTCTCCAGTCTATCGCGATGCAGCGTTTGCCGTACTGTGTGTCCTCACCAAACGAATATCGTACACCATGCTCTGGCCACATGTGGCGCCACGTTTGTTCCCTTTGGTGGACGGCACATATTTAGAACCGTTGTTCTTAACCCTTTCACTGCCACCCTCAGGACGACTCGTTGACCCCCCTACGCACACCGCACAATATTCCCAAGTGTGCTCAATTTGCGTTTTAAGCTCGCTTCTGAGGCAACTCGTGTCAAAAAAATAATGTGGGCCGCCCCTTGACGGACAATACAATTCATGAACCATCAATATATTCTGACTGCGATTAAATCCCTAACAAGAAAGCAGCTTATCTAAGATGCTCGTTTATGTCGGATGTCATGGATGCAGTTGTCGAGCAGATGGATCTTTTCTGGTGCCAGGTACTATCTGCGTTTACATCAGTAGATCACATACACCGGTGGAAAGGCATGACTGCACATGAATTCTATGTATTTCTGGCTCTATAACGCTGATGGTGCATGCAACGAAAAGCACTATTCTTGAGTTACAAGCCTAAAACGTCCGCCGAACCGACATGTGAAAACAAAAATGGCAAAGGGGGGGGGAGGGAGGGAGGGAGGGAGGGAGGGAGGGAGGGAGGGAGGGAGGGAGGGAGGGAGGGAGGGGGAGGGAGGGGAGGGGAGGGAGGAGTAGTCAGAAAAAAACTTGGCAGTGAAAGGGTTAATAACCAAAAGACCAACAGCAATTGTGTGTTGTAGGTAAAATATCTTTACTTTTATTCGCAATTATTAATTCTCGACTTTTGGCTTCTTACGGGTTTTGTTTCTGTAATGCTCCGGGCGTGCATAAATGCTTCGTCAAAGGCCTTTTAAGCCACCGCTCCCGAGCTTTTTGTCGTCAGGGCCCCTTAACACTTTTAGGGATCGCTCACAGGCCTGTATTGAATAGACTTATATGACAAATGGAGGAACTGACGTCGCCGTAAATCGGAAAAAACTTGAACTCGTCAATCCAGCCAAACACCAATCACGTTTATCATCTCTGACATTCTGCAAACGGGCCTAAAATGGCTTTGCAGAAGAAAGTGAGCATGGCAATGCATATCCGAGCAGTTGAACAGTGCGCTCGCTATTAGAGACTCCTTAGAACTGTACAATAGCTGCAAATGTGTTCGGTCCCACAATTTAACTAGGGATGCCGCGAACTTTTTTCGAATCAAAGTTTCGATGATCGAATCAAGCGGTTCGAAAGTTTCGAAAGATTTCGATTTTTCGAATTGTCTATATCGTAAAATTCGACGGAGGTCGAATTTTCGAACTTGTTAAGCTAAGAAGTTCGACGCTTTTCGAACTGTCGAACTTATTACGCTAAAAAATTCGATCTTTTTCGAACTTATTGCGCTGCAAGGTTCGATGCTTGTCGAACTTTCGAACTTGACTGACCAAAAAGTTCGATGAATTTCGAACTTTCGAACTTATTTATCAAGAAAATTCGAAAAGTTTTGAACTTTCGAATTCTAAAAAGTCAGAAGTTCGACGAACTTCGAACTTTTAGGGTAAAAGTTCGACGTTCGTCGAACTTCGAAAGGCCGGCGGACGGTTTCATTTGATCTCAAGTAGTGGGGTACATTGGTAATTTTTTTTTCTCGAACTTTTACACGCGGTGCTGCGTTTCTTACGAAAGACATTGTCATTTATTTCAATGTTCTGGCATGCTTAGGTTTAAAGAAATAAATCCCCGAAGGGGCGAGGACGGACGACGGGTTTTTGACGATTATCGTTTGTGCCAGATTTGAAGCACGCTGCAGCCGGAGCTATTTATGGTAGATATGTTATACTTTTTTAAGAATGGTCTATGTATAGCCGAGGTAAGTGCCGTCTTAAGATGTGATTACTGTTATTCAACGTGAGTTTCGAAGAAATGTCCAAACATGTATCTGCATGCAATTATGACCTAAACTTGATATTTATTTTCGTCTAAGTTGTTTGAGGTATCGCATTTAAATTAACACCACAGACAGTACATATCATTGCCATCTGCAGAATACAAAATAATATATTTATTGTTTTTTCACATTAAGGAATAAATTAACTCATTGCAGAAGATTTCTAGTAGTGTTCAAGTTCAGCACGTCATTAAAAGAAAACTTTTTTTTTTTTTTTTCACTTCTCGTTTTTGGGACGTGTTTCTTTTAGCCTGTACACATTTTAATAAAAGAAACTTGTTTCGAAGTTCTGAACCTCTGAATATGCAAGAATAGAACACTTCCGACGAATTCTTGATAGTTTTTTTTTCTCCTGCTTTTTATTCCCGCATTTATTCTTTTTTTTTTTCTTTTGTTACTATCGGCACAGGTGTTTAGGTCGAAAAGACATAGCTTTGAACTTCCGAACCACTAAGCATGTGACGAGCAGTGCCTTCTGACAACGAGTTTCTAACAGTGACCATCTACGCAACCTTTTATGCAGTGAAGAGCGACAGTAGCTATATATATGCATAAATAATTTCAGATTAAAATAAGCTCGACCACGCCTTCTTTCCCCGTATTGTTTTCTTTAACAGTCCGAAATACCTGCAAGGGGGAGAAGGAAGCTGAAGCCCCCCCCCCCCCCCCCCCCCTACCCTCTCTCCCCCCATTTTTCCTCTTCCGACGCCACTTGTATGGTAGAACGCTCCTCGACCTCGAGTTGTGTCGGCTTTTGTGCTTTTTGCGAGGCGATTCCTCCGTCCCAGAAAATAAAGAAAATAAACCTCCAGGACAATTATAAACTTCACCGGATCGGATTACTACCAGCGTGCAAGGGGTGGCGAGGTAGTTTGCCAGGTCGCTTCAAGGTTTTTCTGAGCCTCAACCTCCTGCTCGCCCCTGGCTGTTTCGAACTGGATGAGTCTCGTAAAACAGTGTGTTCGTGCAATCACTACTGCGTGATGCAGGTTAAAGGCCCCCCCCCCGGGGCTGGCGGTCACAATTCTGCACTGGCAAATATTCTAGCACGTCCGGGACACTCGTGTCTCATTTAATTGCCTGACCAACTTCGCAGAATCTAGATATCACACCCTAACTTTTCTAAACTTGATTTTGTGAAAACCAGTGAGTCGTGAAAACGTTATTTGAAACTGAAACTGTAGAAAAACTTGAAAATCGGACTTCAAACTTTGAAAACTTGGATTAGAAAAAAATTCAAAATCTTCTAAGTTTTTTTGTTTTTTTTAAATTTAGCGTTAAAAGAGAATCGAAACTTTCGAACTTTTCGAACTTTATGCCAAAAGAAATTCGAAATCTTCGAATTGTTCGAACTTCATGTCTATAAAAATTCGAAGCGTTCGAAGTTTTCGAATTTTTTTTACAAAGAATTTCGAAATCTTCGAATTTATCGAACCTGAAGTAAAAAAATATTCGAAATATTCGAATTCGAAATTTTAGAAACCGTGAAAGCTTCGAAATTTTCGAATTCGAAACTCCGCTGTGGACAAAAGTTGCGAATTTTTCGAAATCGAACCTTGGTCGGTACGAAAATATCGAAATTTTTCGAAATCGAACCTCAGTTCGCTTTGCAAATATCGAAACCTTTCGAAATCGAACCTAGGGTGGTTCGCGGCATCCCTAAATTTAACCCTCTTCAGTGCCTTACCTGCCCCCGTGGAGCGATCTTCTAGTCAGTGCAGACCCCCACTAACGGTGCCACGAACCCCTAGGGATCCGTGGAGCACAGTACAACAGCCGCGGTCCTAAACAAAGCAAAAGAAGCCAGTGACTACAAGACTGAAGGAAAGCGGGAGCTCACACGTCTTATTGCACTTGCAGTTGATTTCTTTTTACCGGGTGAGACGTGGTACATTCCGCCCCCGATTCCCAGACGACGGAAGCCGTGGGGTAAGGATCGACCAGTGCCTGCGTGTGCGATCGCGATTGGTTCCTCGGATCTGTCTGCTAGAGGCTCGCCCACTAACGCCCATGATGCCTGGTCTGTTTGCTCACAGGAACGAGTCATGTGTTTGGTGTGATAGACTAACCCAGAGTTCTGCTGTGGCCCTCTTGTAAAGAACAGTCTGCTGTCGGTAATAGGGTCTTCGGTACTCGGGACCGCTCTAAAATCTGCCGGAAAAGTCGGCACCTGCGTGTAGCGATCTCAAATTTTCACCAGTGGCGCATTTTGGCAGTGCACTTTGCCTCGTGAAATTTCAAGGTGTAGGATCCCTTCGCGTGAAACGTGAGGCCGAGAAATTGCCAGAGCCAACAGCAGACGTCGACACAGACAACCGGCTGAGAGGGCATAGTGCTTGTGGCACCATTTTCTGGCAGGAGCAGCGAGCAGATGACGCACTGAGTCAAAAGCAGACAGTCGTCTGCTCGCTACGCCGATCTGGAGACAGCACCATAGGTGCAACCCTCGTCGACTTCGTTGTCTGTTTCGATGTCTGGCAGGTTTGTTGGTTGCATTTCTCGCAGGAAGCTACACCTTGAAACTCCAGAGGGAAATATATATAATGAACACCATTGGTTAAAGTTTGGTGCAGACGCCGATTTTTCTGGAAGATATTAGAGTGAGTGTGAGAATTGAAGGTACCCTATACGTACAACGTTTTACAATGACTTAGGTTAGAAACGAGCAATCCGCACAAACACTGCGAATTCCTTACCTTGAACAGAAACTGCTCTTGTTGGAACGTATCTCTGAACAGGTTCGGGTAAGTAAAGCCGATTCACTCACCAGAAGCTGTCAGACTTTTTTGGGAACAATGTTCGCTACATTGGTAGCTTCACTACATTAGTTCTAGCATTACAAGTGTATATTACACTTTTTCTATATATTTACTATATCAGTGTTCACCTCACTTGTACTGTAAATGCATTCATTCCTGTTATTTGGGAGTTGCTCTTAGCTGAGTTTCTCTGGGCGGTGTTTCACTTTATAAAGAGCCATCATTATTCATTCCCCGTGGCTGGCATGTGTGTGGTACGCACAGCTAGTCAAAGTATGAATCGAGAAAATTTTGCCTTCGCAAGTTCAAGATTAATTTAGCTGTCTGATGCTAATCTGTGGGAAGTCTTATTGTACTCCACTACTCCACGTCGACATTTTAATTTGGTGGGAAACTGCGTCGTAATCTCGTGAACAGCCAAGAAGGTTAATCTTTGGTTGAGCGAGGCTGATTCACCCTGAAGTTTCTGGGACCAAGGATAAACTGACACTTGTAGTCGTAATATGTGGCTGCCATATATAGGCAGCATGCATGCAAACTTTGTGACACGCTGCAATTTGTTCCCTGCCTGCCTACGTGCATTGCCTGCAGATACGGGGTGTTTGATTTTAATTCGAACAGATTTATTAGAAAATAAGATTCGTGAAAGGTACACTAATGCGGTCTGTGTAGGTGAGTTATTCGGCGAGGGGGACATCATGTAGGGGGCTAATCGTCACAATAAGCTGGATAAGCAACTTCAATGTGTTAGTTACCTTACGTTAGCGTCACCGAAAACCGCTAAATCAGTCAATTCTAGAGATATCCGAAGCTTGTGGTAAGTGCAGGGGTGCGCCAAAATTACCACTCGTGAAACAGGCACAACGTTGGCAATCTGAAAATGCGAATGAAAAGAGCGTCCATGGTGTCAGACCGCCAGCATTACACTTGTAGCACGTGTGGTAACTTTGCCGCACCACTGCAGTTCCCACATTTTACTTATATGGTGGCTTTCGAAGATGCTCAGCAAGTTTTCAATTGAAACCATGGTTATTTTTACTAATTAAAGGGTTGCAATTAACAAGTTTTAGTTGATCATCCGACTTGCTGTGATGATTAGACCCCTATAGTATGTCCCCCTGGCCGTATAACTCGCCTGCACAGGCTGCTATTAATGTAGCTTTTGTGATCTTAAAACAAACCTGTAATGCCTTAAAAAGAGTCTCTATATAATTGTTTTGTTGTAGATTCCCATGGGAGTACGAAATTATGAAATTACTTTATGGTGAGGGTGTTTGTGGAGAATAACATAGAGAACGAAAACAGACGACACGTGTCGTCCTGTTTTCGTCCTCCATGTTATTCTCCACAAACGTCCTCTATGTTATTCTCCACAAACACCGTAACTTAACCAGCACGCTCCATTTCCACGAGTACTTTATGGTTTTTCCAAACCATTTATGACAAAACCGTGTATTAATTTGCTTGGTGCTCCCTAGTTGGTCTGGATTGCAGGAGTTTTTTTTTTTTTTTGTTGAGCTTGAGAATGTGCGTGTGTTTGTTTGTTTGTTTACCTGTGTCCACTAAGTTCGTTAAGTGCTAACAACTGGCAGGCATTTTTAGTTTTGCATGTTCATTATATTTGTTTAGGAACTACTGATGTGCAGTTCTGTCATTGGATGACATATCATGTCAATATTTCATACAGCAAATATGGTTGCCACGCACTGGAGAACCTGTGAGGTAGTGTTTGTTATGTAATTTGTGAAGGAATTTACATAAGACAACCAAGATAAAAATGCAAAAGCATGACACATGGAAACTTTTCTCAAAGGTGCTCTTACTGTTTTTATTGTCAAATGCTACCTGACTGATAAGGTGTCATAGTGCTTTTCTTTTTTTCAGCCTCTTTTCATTTTTGTGTATGTGTCTGCATTTATTTATTTGCAAAATTTTACTGCCTGCACTTCATATTATTCTTGCTAAATTGACCTGTGGTGTCTTCCAACTAAAAGTAATGAAAGTTTATCTGGGTTTTAAATTCTATCAGTTAATTTTAAAAGTAAAAGGATAAAAGCCTGATAATTATTTTATGCTTTCCCGAGTTCTTTAACCTTTTCCCAGATTTTTTAACCTGTGTTTGGGACTTTTTCTTTTATTTCATTAGTGATTATTCTACCCTTATCTCGCTGTAAGGACCACTCAGTTTAACTTCAACCAACACTATGGCTTTGTTTTAGATCCGAATGAGATGAACCTGATCGAACGGAGGAACACTGGGAGCAGACATTTAAACACCCAGTAGCCTTTCCGATAAAAGAGCACAAAGTTGAATTACTTGATATAGATTGATTGTTAAAGAAGCATCAAAAGATTAGGACAAGGGAGACATGCTCACAGTCTCACTTGCGCATGTGCTCACCTTCAATAACTTGTACATTTGCTCACTCATCTATTTATTCATTCATTAATTCACAACTTCATTCACTCATGCATTCACATTATTCACTTGCTCTCTCAGATTTACTCACTCAGATTTGCTGAATCATTCCTTCATTCACGCATTAATTCATTCACAGATTTAGTCACTCATTCACAGACATTCATTCATTTACAGATTTATTCCCTTACACACACACACATTGATTCATTCGGATATATTTATACTCACCCATTCATTCATTCAAATATGGATTTCTTCACACACATGTTCATTCATAGGTTTATTCTTTCACTCCCTCACACATTCATTCATTCACAGATTTACACACTATTTCAAACACATATTCATTCACATATTTATTCTCTTACACATGCATTCATTCAGACTTGCTCGCATATTCATTCATTCAGAGATTTACTCCCTCACTCACACATTCATTCACTGGTTTACTCTTTCACTCACTCATACACAGATTAATTCGCTCACTAATTTACTCAGTGCTTCACACACATATTCATTCACAGATTTATTCCCTTACAGACTCACATTCATTCATTCAGATTTACTCTTGCATATGTATTCATGGGTTTACTCCCTCACTCTCGCACTCACTCGCAGATTGATTCCCTCACGCACACGTTAACTCATTCAAATTTACTCCCTCACCGATTCACTCACTATTTAACATTCATTCATTTGCAGATTTGCCCACTCATGCATAATTCACAGATACACTCTCTGTCATTCATTCATTCACAGATTTACTCCCACATTCATTCATTCATTCATTCACAAATTTACTCCCACACTCATTCATTCATTCACAGATTCACTCACTTTCTGGCATTAATTCATTTGTTGATTTGCTCTCATGCACACAACCTCAGATTCACCTCTCACACATTCATTAATTTACAGGCTTACTCTTTCACCCACTCACTCACACAATCCTTCAATCACAGATTGCTTTTTTTTCCCTCACACACAACATTAGGTCATTCAGATTTACTCTCTCAGAGATTCACTCAGTATTTGGTATTCATTCATTCACACATTTGCCCCCTCATGCACATATTCACAGCTTCACTTACTCTCTCATTCATTCATTGATTCACTTACTCTCTCATGCACACATTCACAGTTTCAGTGCTCCCACATTCATTAATTCACTGGTTTACTCTTTCACTTACTCACACAATTATTCGTTCGCAGATTTATTTCCTCACACACACATCAATTCATTCAGATTTACTTCCCCACTCCCTCACAGATTCTCTCACTATTCATTCATTCACATATTTTCCCTCTCATGCGCATATTCACAAATTCACTCACTTTGTCATTCATTCATTTACAGATTCACTCACTCTCTGTCATTCAATCTTTCGCAGATTTGCTCTCTCACTCAGACGTTCACAGACTTACTCTCAGCCCTTGCTCCCCCGCACGTGCTCGGAACGTAGAGAGCGAGCCGACCTTTGCCAACGCTGCCCTCCCCGCCCCAGGCTACAGCTGGGACTACTCGGACCTGACGACGGAGCAAAAGCCCCTGGCCAACATCAGCGAGGTCCCGGGCAACGAGGTGCAGGACTCATGCAGCCTGCGCAGCGGGGACTCCAACAGCCGCAACAGCCAGATGGACCTGCTGCCCGGACTCAAGGACGAGTCGGACTACGTGGGCGACTCGGAGAACAACGAGTCCCTGGACGGCCATGCCCCCTTCCAGGTGGGGAGGAGCAGCGACACGCCCCTCGTCGAAGGGGAACTTAGCAGAATTTCGATAGGCACTGAGTCACCTTGGAATTGGTCGGACACATAAATACACGCGTCTGAACTAATAACTCAAATTGCATGTCAAAATAACTTTTCAAGACAGAATGTCTCAAAGTGCTGGGATCTCTGAGGAAGGTGCAAGGGAATGCTAATGAAACAGTTACGAAATGTGCAACATGTACAGCCTCCAGATTTTTTAACAATATCGCACGAATGCCGACCGGCCGTTGGGTCAGAGCCTTACCGCAGCGTAAAACAGCAAGCCAGCGAGGCTAGATGTGTGCCTTCTGCCACATGCGCATAGTCTCGCTTACCTGCTGTTTCATGCTGCGATAAGGCGCTGATCTACTGGTCAATCGGCGTTTACACGTTATTGTTAAAAAATTACAGGAGGACACTTAAGCTTTGCCTATAAGTTCGGAATGCGATAGCTAAACATATAAAGCCCCACTCGTTCCCAAGTCTCGCAGCGTGTCTGCATGGCCTAGTCAATAGCGTGTCTGACTTGCAACTAAAGGGTCATAGGTTCGAATCCTGCCTCTGCCTAATTCTTAAAAACATTTTTTTAAGGCAAATGAATTACTTTATAAAATGAAATCATTCGAGACATATGCGGTAACCTTTAATTCGCATTACATGTCATGTTTTAATCACTTTCATTCCACGTGTGACATCACGCTTGACGTGAGCGTTGTGGGTTGTTTGAAATTCCTGCGCAAGGTCATGTGGCTGTGGCATCATGACCCTATCGGAGAATTCAGGATTTTCCAGTCCCGCCGACGCCGGCTTTTCTGTGACACGAGCTCTTTAAAGCTATGTTGCTTTAAAATCTGGAGGTTGTACATCAGAGACAATCAGTACAAAAGAGCGGTAAATTAGCAAGCATGGCATTGTAAATGCCAGACTTGCTATGGCAACGGGAATCAATCCCACGACCCCTGGACTGTGAGTTCTACGTTCTACCACTTTGCTAGTCGGTGGGTAGACACAAAACCGGCCGACTTTGTCCCTCTGAAACGTTGGGACGAAAACGCTGGACCGGCATTCAGCGTTGGCATCTGAACGGTTTACACGAAGAAAAAAATCCAAGACGTGCCCACCATCGCATAAGATAAAAAGGTTCGAGTTTGGAATAAAGTAATGTGCTATTACCAAAGAAAACTAAAAACAAACCGCAACATCCGCCACAAACCCTGAAGAATGCCACAAAAACACATTATGATGCTGGCTTTATCAATGGGATCAAGATAAATCAATAATTTTTTTGCTAATGGCGAATTCGACTGTTCGTTTTAGAGCACACCGAGGTTAGTAGACCAGATTTGAGATGGAGCATGTAATGCACACGGAGTCGGTCCGCCTCCCAATTCCCAGTGCAATATGACCACTCCTCCGAGATTGGAGGATGCCTTCCGGTCATTCACCTTCCCGGGAATTCCCTCCCCCAGTCCCAGATCTCAAAGCACATGTTTTCGCAATGGCGGCGCTAACAACACGTGTTCATCACACTAACAAAGTTAATGATGATGTGAAAGATGCGTGTCCATAAGCGATACATGCATCAGCATAGCCCACTTGATTCTTTATCACAACTTTCACGGCCTATAGGGGCCGCTCCCATTGCTATCAAAACGGCTGTCATCTAAATGATTGTCGTAGAACAGCTAAACGAGGTTCGGTCCGTGATGCGGAAGTAATGATAATTTTGTGAAATCCAAGCGATATGAAAGCTTTACGTCCTATCTTTGCGTCTCGAAGGTGTAAGCAGGCATCTCTATGTTGAAGTCCATCATCCGGGAGCTAAGGAGTGCGATTCTCACACTGCGGTACCACCATCATTGAAAGTTGCAAATACTTGTGAACAGTATCCAAACATGTCTCGATTTTCGGCCTCCTCTGCGGAGGTCTGGAAATGTAGTCAAATTCTTGGGGGACATACAAGCAATCCTCGTCGTCGCTGCTACTCAAGCCGCTGCTGCTAAAGGAGCTGCTCGAGCAATTCAGCGACGAACTGTCATCAAGCAGCAGCAGCAGCAGAAAAGTGGGCGGCACTCCGCGAGCGGCTATTACGAATTCTTCCGAGCTTTGGGAGGAAGGAGCTCATATGTGCATGCTGAGAGTTGGCCAGGCAGGCTTCCGGTCGAATCCACCAAAATCGGCGGTGCGACTTTTCTTGGTATCTGGATCGGGATTCTGGAGTGGGAGTTTATCTGAAACGACGAATTGAACACGTCCGTTTCGCTCCCTACCGCCAAGTGAAATAGGCAGAAAAGTCTGTCCCGGCATGCACCAAAACGACCAGTGGGATTCGCCATTAGTTATTAAAGTTTCAGATTTTGTCCGAGAGGCTGAAAGGCTCTAATGGCAACACTGGAGACACGACGTCAGATGTTGTGTTATGGTTCAATATGGGGGCAGCAGAGCTTGTGCCAAACGGGTTACAAGAAGTTTGATGGTGTGAAATGAATGCTAAAAAAGCTCACTCCGGCGAAATGGGAAAAAAAATGTGTTTTCTACACTGCCTGTGCGACTTGCAAGTTATGCAATGCCCTCCCGACTGGGAGTGCCGGAAAATTCTAAGATTGTTTTTGGCGTCACCTTCATTTCGCCTTTTCTCAATAGCTATTTTGCATGTCGGAAAAAAAGTAGAGTTTGGGTATTCCGAAAATGAGTTTAACTTGTGTAGATGAAACCGTCGACGAAGCATCGGCAAAACAATGCGTCAATGAAACATTGTTCAATTAACTGAATGCCAGCAGAAGGGGGGGAGGGCTTATTTTGACGCGGACCTTTTACATATTTTATGGTACAATGGTACAAAGTATGGTGCGAACGACCGGTCCCTTTTTCTAGGACTCACAATGCGGTGCCTTTCTTTCAGGGCTACGAGCAGCTGCTGCAGATCAGCGAGGACGACGAAGAAGAGCCAGCCCAAGGTGCCTCCCCGCACCGTTACGAGCGCCACCCGAACCAGTACCTGCCCTCGCACTGCCTGAGCAATGACCAGTCACCCGCAGACGACCTCTCGGAGGACGGAGTTGTGTCCTACGGCTTCCCCTCCCAGGGAGGCCGCGGGTTCCTGGTAGAGGGCGCCCCGTCCTCCTCCCACCTGTCCTGTTCCGACCTGTCCGTCAACAATGTGTGCGACATAGAGGACAGCGATGAGGACGACGACGACACGGACAACACCGTGGTGCAAAAACCGCCTCCCTCCACTACGACGACGGTGGTGTGACGGCTTACGTGTTGGACGGCTCGAGCAACGTCGAAACGACATCGATTTGGCACACGCCCCATTGGTGCCGCTCAGCATCAGCGTTGTGGGACGTTGCAACGTTGGAACGACATCTATTGGGCATCGACACGCCACATTGGTGCCACCCGGCATCGTGGGACGTTGCAACGTTGGAATGACATGGGTCCAGTGCTTCTTGAAATTGGTGGACGTTTCCAATGTCGTTGCGCAACGTTAGAATGACATTGCTGCGGCGTCCCTCGGACATCGTGTTGGTGACTCTGCGTTGGTGGGACGCTTACACATGGTTGTGCGACATTGTTTTGGCATTTTGTTGAATTTCCCAATACTGGGGCAAGAAATCAGAGTTCGACGTTTCTCAGGTTTCTTGTTTCAGTCTTGGGTCATTCGACAAAATGGTAAATACGCGCCAGCTTGCCCGCGCTCTCACTGTAATTTTGTTGGTTTGGCATTGCTCTGACGTTGCTTCGGCGCCACTGAACGTTGGTGGGACGGTTCAACTTCGTTGCCAAGTGCGGTGAACTGGAGGAATCGGAGACTTCCCGGCGCCATCGCTGCGCCGCCGCCGCCGTGATCTACGGTTGTGTGATGTGTGCCTTTCTTTTTTCAAACGACTTTTCTGAACACTTTAGGCTTAAGTTGAGTGCCGCGTCATAATAGGGCAAGGCTGTAGGGACAGAGTGAATTGATGGCAGCTTATTGCAGATTTATTCTTTTTCTTTTTCTGACATGTCAGCCGTTTTTACGCAGGTTTTAGAAATGATTTTACTAGTTACGTAGTGTTGAACATATTTCGTGCTTGGAACTTCTCTTATTTACTCGTCACGCCGCCACAGAAGAGCAAAGTCCCGAAAGTAACTTATTTTGGTCTTTTAGTTGACATCTTCAAGGGTGGGACAATGTTCGTAACTTTTCCATTTGCATTTCTACATTGTTCGCTCTTTTGTTTCAACGTTTTCATCATATCATCAAACTTGTCGGATTGTGAAGACACAGGTGTCGGGCACACTTGCAAATTTCTCCCCAAAACACAAATGAATGGGCGGCTAGTGAGTACAGTCACCCGGTTGAACCGCATTGTCACGGACTGCCGATAGCCACACGGTTCACAGCATTCGTCCCTGAATGCAGCTACATGCCCTGCCACCGTTTAGCGTCAGGAATCGCTCCTCGTCACGGGGAGGAAGTGCAGATCTTCGAACCTTTTTGTATAACCAAGCGCGGGACTGGCTCTCAGCGTAGACGGAATTCTCTTTGCCGAAGAAAGTGCCATTGTCACAGACCTTTCGTACCGTGGCGCGCGTGTATGTTGTTTCCGGGCGCCGACCATGAGAAGCTCAGGTAAACGACACTTATCGGTCAAGCGCCCCCTTCTTTTTATTGCGTGTGAAGCTTGTACCCGAAGGGCTAACCTTCAGGCGCAATTTTACGAAATACGTTTATCCGGTAATGAGCAAATTTATGTGCGGTTCCGACAATGCGGGAACGAGTATGGCCAAGTGGCTCGCTGGTTGGTTGGCTTTTGTATGCGAGTCTGAAAGCAGGGCGAAAATGGGCAGCTCGGCATTATAGTGGGTGCTCTCGCACTGTTTTGTTGCAGCCATCGTAGGAGGTCGCGTTCACATGTTATGTATTTAGGAATTCTTAAATTTGCTTGCTTCCTAGCTCGAATATTTTTGTTTATCGCCTTCGACGCGGCATTCTAGTTTGCGCAGCTACCACCTACTTCACGAGGATCATCCGCTTTGGTGCATGTCGTCAGTACCTGCCTTTATTTTTTTTTATAAGTTTCGTTGACGTCATTTGTTACAAACTAGATTTGAAACAATACACTCGTTTCCCTTTCCGGAAGACAGTTGTGACTGTTTGGCGTGCAGCGTTTAGCAGGAGTTTGTTGAAACGTCAGAGACTATTTTGGTATCCCATGCGCATGTACGTCGTGTACGAATCTCCCGTGTCTGCTTCAGCGGATGGAAGGATTCACGCGTAGTTAACTGCTAATTGTTTTGGCCCAGACTTCGGTCGTTTCCAATACGAGAACGTCATTCATATTATTGTTGCACCTGCACTTTCTGAGTTGTTCATGCGCATTGAATGAAGGGCTTGAAAATTTGAAATTAGCCAAAGTTTCGAAGTAGGTGACGGTATGAATTAGGAAAAAAGGCATCACAGAAAAGGAATGTGGCACCAATACCAAAAATGTGCATTTCGGGTGCAGCACTACATCATGATGCCATATTTAACAGAATTGCAAGGTACCGACTTCTCGCATTGTTTGTCTGGCTTGGATGGGAAAACATGTCTGAACATTCATTTAATCCATCAAAGGATTGTTTCTTTTATAAATTCAGATCATAGTCATTGAAACTGAATCAGTGTGACCAAGGGTAAGAAGGGTACTGATCTTAATGCAATGAAGTTCAGAATGGCACTTGTCTCTGTCCATTTGAACAGGGGCCTGAAAAGACTGTTTTCTTCCAAAGCGGTTCATTAAAGATATGGTGGCATAATTCTCACAAAAATTAATTTCAATATTGTCACGGGTCAAATCGTTCTTTGTAAACATCAACAAGACACAGGAAGGGACAAAAGTTAAGCAGATGAATGAATTTGTCTACTTGGTATTCATCTTTAGAGGAAAGCTGAAGCACTTTTCAAGAACTCTGAGTTAGGAGCAGATTTCTATATCTTTTTGTCCCATGAATTCAGTTATCGCACTTATCTTGAGCAGAAGTAAACATAAACCACATTTATTGTGAAAAATATGTGCAGTGGTTCTCATCGAGCATGCAGTGAACCTCTCTGCCGCCTGCTATTTGTCGATGAGCGTCGTGACGTCATTTTCGGCGTTCTTAAGCCAGCTTAGTGGAGAGCAAGGGTTCTTCTGATTCCGCGAGGACGTCACTTTTGCTAATTTTTAATTGTCGCAATTTTAATAGGCTGTTAAGACGCTCCCATTAATAAGATTGAAAAAAAAAACTTAAGGCACATTTTTTAAGGTGTCTTCATTACAGCTTTTACTGTTCATTTGAATTCAAATATCTCTTCAGCTTTCCTTTAAGTACAGTTTTTATATCTAGCCATGCGTTCGCAACAAGCCCAACAAACCACCATACCACTTAGGGCCCATTCACCCTTTCTCAATCGCCAATAATTGTCACGGCGATTTGTTCAATGTCGTAACACCAGCGCAGATCATCAATTGGCTGCCGTTAGCGCTGTGTCATCACTTAGTCAGTGACAAGTTAAGAATGCAGCAGAAGCGCCGCTGCCTTCTGTAGCACTTTGGCTGTGCTTGTTCATGAGACACCCAAGCATTATATTGAAGGTAAAAAGCTTTCGCTGGAGGAAGAGTTCTGTTGCATTCTTAACCTGTCGCCAACTATAGACAGTCCTCCAATCAGTGCTCCCTACTTGTCCCACATCGGGCAGTGCATCGGCATTTCGTGGCAAGTCAAGAGAATTTAATGTTTGGGCCTTAGGTTACCTAGGTGCTGTTGTTTCTCCGTCATGTGTACATCGCATTTATGTGTTAGTAACAAAAATTTTACCTAGGCTATTTAGCAGTAATTAAAACGCGCTACTTCCACTCGATTTTTAAGGACTGCCTTTGTGTGAAAACATTCTTTTCAGGCTTAAGTCGTTTTGCAACTGAAAAATGTGTGTGAAGTTCATGCCGGATATAGTATCTTCTGAGAGAACCATCCACATATGGAAAAGCTGTTTTTTTTTTTCTTTTTTTAAATTTTACGTGCATTGCACCTTTTGTGTTCATGATTCTTGTGGTGATTCAAACTTGCAGGGTGATCGGTCGCTTGTAGGACTGGCTGTGTTCCACTGAGATGAATGGAACTGTCATGACATGCTTAAAAACTGACCTATGCAGACTTTCTGTGTGTGTGTGTGTGTATGTGTGTGTGTATGTATGTGTGTGTGCATGTACTCTGGAAACTCTTGGCATCAGTCGGTTGAATGTGGACTATTAATGGGTGCTACGTGAAAGGAGTGAGCTTATCGAGACCTCATTTGGCTTTCTTGTACTTGGAACAGACTTCCAGTGTGTATGTTCAATAAAGGTGAAAATGCTTTCATGTTTGCAAGGGCTTGTCATGTGCTTCTGTTTAAATCGTGAACACGAGAGCCAATACGGGTTGTCCCTATTGGAAGGCTCAATCTTTAACAATTAATGCGTGCAGATCGCAAGTTGCGTCATGTGCAGGGCTCGCGCGCTGCCGCTGCCTGCCGGCATGACCGTTTCTTTAGGTGTACCACGTAATTCACACTGATTTTACATCTTGCTGATTTACTAAATTAAGTGCCTGGAGGAATTCTGATGTACTGCGGTATCGGCAGTGTTGTGTAAAGGTATACATCTAAAATGTACTTGATGTACAAAGAAAGTAAGAGGTTGTGTACTTAGAGTAAAACAGTAAGTACACTGGATGCAATGCACTTGAAGTAAAGCACTATAAATACAATGTACTTTCAAGGTGATCACCATGGTGATCACAGAGTAGTTTTATTCTCGCTGACAAAGTACTTTAACACAATCGACCTATAGGGCATGCTTATTATTGCAATAGCATTATTAAGCTATTAAGTAGCATAAAAAAGCAATATAAAAACTAACGCCGAACTTATAAAAGAGACATCATGCAAGCACCATAAACTGAAAATTCAATTATGTTATTGCAAATAATAAAAAAAAATATTTTTCTCCGGCGACTTTTTCTAAGATGAAGTACAAAAACAAAACAGTCCCAATTTTTCGCCCCTAATGGCTTGCTGCCATGTGTGGATGGCACCTGTGCATGGCGGCGAAGCCATTTAGACGCGAAAAAAAAAACAACGTAATCGTAAAAAAAAAAAGGGGGGGGGGGGGGGGGGGCCGCGAGTATCACGCTTTTGAAATTTGGCGTGCAGTTTGAGTAAGAGTAGCCCTTAGTACTGTAAAAAATGCCTAATGAGATTAGAGTGATTACTTTTTTAGAGCAATATCATCTAGCGGTCGAAAAAGGGTGGTTTGACGTGCGCTGGGTACGTGAAAGCACGCCCCCAAATAGGTCGCTTTGAGCGAAAAAAACGCCTCCTTATCAAAAAAATCTTTGCCTCCTATCAGCACTGATAAGGCCAAAACTTTTTTTCGGCCAACTTCGCTGCTTAACCCCGATAGGCCTACCAGCCGTCTGACACTCCACTGACTCCACCACGGTGCACTCCATGGATGGATGAATACGGCTGAGCCCTTTGGATCGGGCGGTAGCTTACGCCACCTAGCCATTTTGTTTTATCATTTAAGCTTAGAATATTTAAATGTGAAATCTATATTCACTCCGCAGTGCAAAGAAAGTGAGGCTATGAAACCCCCTTGCCATCAGTGATTAAGAAAATACCTAGTTTTCTCTCGATTTCTGCCACCATTCACTTAATCTTTGCTTGGTAATCTCTACAGTCTTGAAATCCACTCTCCCTTCGCTGTCTCTAAAACCCAATGACTTTATTAAATCTATGTTGTCTTCGATAGGCATAGGGTGAAGCCCTTTACAGTAGAGTATCAAGTGCTCAGCCGTCTCGTCCTCCTCTCCACAAGCAGTGCACACTGTATCAATTTCCTGGTACTTCACTCTGTATGTTCTGGTTCGCAGAACACCCGTTCTTGCCTCAAACAGCAATGAGCTTCCCCTAGAATTGTCATAAATGCTTTCTTTGGCAATAACTCTTTTGTTTAATCTATAGCTTTCCAGAGCAGTCTTTGTCTGCATTCCCTCTAGCCACCGATCTCTTTCTGTGGCCTTAACTTTCTTCTTAACTGAGACTTGCTCTTCCGTATCTTCGCTATAGCCCAAAAACCTTCCTCTTAATTTCCTAGTGCGCTGTCTCCACTTTGTGTCTACACTCCTCATGTATAAATAGCTGAAAACCTTTCGTGCCCATTGCTCCCCATCCATTAGCCTCAACCTATCCTCAAATTCTACCTTGCTCACCGCTTCCCTGCTCTCAAATGATGCCCATCCCATGTCTCCTTGTACTCCCTGGTTTGGCGTTTTGCAATGTGCCCCCAAAGCCAGTCTACCTACTCCGCGCTGTTTTATTTCTAGTTTCGCATGCACTTCGGATTTCATGCATAGCACTGCGTTTCCAAAAGTCAAGCCAGGCACCATGACCCCTTTCCAAATCTCTCTCACCACCTCATACCTGTTGTAATTCCAAAGTGCTCTATTTTTCATTACAGCTGCATTTCTGTTGCCCTTACCTATTATATACTTTTCATGGTCTCTGAGATATTCTGCACCATCACATATCCATACTCCTAGATACTTGTATTTACTAGCTCTCTCAACTGTAATATTCTGTATCTTCAGCCTCTCAACTTCATCCTCGTTAAAAATCATGACTGCAGATTTTTCGCTACTGAATTCTAAACCTAATTCCTCTCCTTCCCTACCACAGATGCACATTAATTCCTGCAACTCTGTCCTGTTGTTAGCCATTAGTACAATATCGTCCGCATACATCAATCCCGGTAAGGATTGCTGAATTTTTTGGCCTAGCTTACTGTAAGAAAGGTTGAACCCAAGCCCACTCTTCTCTAGTCTATCCTCCAATCCTCTCAGATACAACATAAACAGCAAAGGCGATAACGGGCACCCCTGCCTAAGGCCTCGTCTTATCTCTATTTTCCCTGTCGCCTTTCCTTCCCATGTTATAATCACCTTGTTATCTTTGTAAATGTTCCTTAATAGTGCTGTTAGTCCTTCATCTAGGTTTAAGTTCTCCATTATGTCCCACAGGTTTCTTTGGTTCACATTGTCATAGGCACCCTTGATATCCAGAAATGCCAGCCAGAGCTGTCTGTTTTCTTTTTGCGCTATTTCTATACACTGTGTTAGAGAAAATAAGTTGTCCTCCAACCTTCTTTGTTTTCGAAACCCGTTCTGTAACTCGCCCAGTATGCCCTCGCAATCTACCCATTCCTCCAGTCTGTTCTTTATAATCTGCATTACCAACCTGTAAATAACCGGTGTCACGGTTATAGGACGATAATTCCTAATATCAGACTTATCTCCCTTTCCCTTATATATCATACTCATCCTACTAAGCCTCCATTCATCTGGAATATTTCCTTTTGTTATCATGGTACTCACTACCTCCCTTAGTTTTGCCTTAGATTTAGGACCCAAATTCTTCACCAGCTTGATAGGGATACCATCTGTGCCTGTCGACGTGCCACTAGGGACTCTTCGTTCCGCCTTTTCCCATTCTCTTTGTCCAAAATCCGCGATGCCACAAACTGGACTGCTACTTCCTTCGGTTCTCCTATCTTCCACATGTACCCGTTCCCGAAATTTCTCCTCCATCACTGCTCCTATATATTGTATCGCATCATCTCCCTCTAATTGATCTCCCTGATGCGAGAGTATAAACCTCTGTCTAGCTTGCGTTGTTTCACCGAGTGAGTTCAAGTGCTCCCAAAACTTCTTGGCAGCATTTCTATCTTTCTTACTTACATTACTCATCCATCCACTAACGTGCTTGCAGCGGTCCCTGGTGTCGTTTGAAGGCACTAGTCGCGGGCGTTAAATGTATTAAAATAATGACAATAGCTATTTAATAAAAGTGCATTGATTGATTACTTTATAAAAACAATTATCTAGCGGTCTAATTGGGGCGGTTTGTCGCTCGCTGGTTGCGTGAAAGCACGCCCCCAAATAGGCCGCTTCGGAGCGAAAAAAACGCCTCCTTATCAGGAAAATCTTTGCCTCTTATCACCGCTGATAAGGCCAAAACTTTTTTTCGGTCAACTTCGCTGTTTAACCCCGATGGGCCTACCAGCCGTCTGACACTCCACCACGGTGCACTCCACTAACGTCGTGCTTGCAGCGGTCCTCTGGTGTCGTTTGAAGGCACTAGTCGCGGGCGTTAAATGTATTCATATAATGACAATAGCTATTTAATAAATGTGCATTGATTAATTACTTTATAAAAACAATCATCTAGCGGTCTAATTGGGGCGGTTTGTCGCTCGCTGGTTGCGTGAAAGCACGCCCCCAAATAGGCCGCTTCGGAGCGAAAAAAACGCCTCCTTATCAGGAAAATCTTTGCCTCCTATCAGCGCTGATAAGGCCAAAACTTTTTTTCGGCCAACTTCACTGTTTAACCCTGACGGGCCTAGCAGGCGTATGACGTACACTCCACGTCGTGCTGCGTCGTGCTTGCAGCGGTCCCCTGGTGTCGTTTGAAGGCACTAGTCGCGGGCGCTAAACGTATTCATATAATGACAATAGCTATTTAATACAGGTGCATTGATTGATTGCTTTATTAGAACAATCATCTAGCGGTCTAATATGGGGCAGTTCGATGTGCGCTGGTTGCGTGAAAGCACGCCCCAAATAGGCCGCTTTTGAGCGAAAAGGACGCCTCCTTATCAGGAAAATCTTTGCCTCCTATCAGCGCTGATAAGGCCCAAACTTTTTTCGGCCAACTTCACTGTTTAACCCTGACGGGCCTACCAGGCGTCTGACACTCCACGTCGTGCTGCGTCGTGCTTGCAGTGGTCCCCTGGTGTCGTTTGAAGGCACTAGTCGCGGGCGTTAAATGTATTCATATAATGACAATAGCTATATAATAAAGGTGCATTGATTGATTACTTTATTAGAACAATCATCTAGCGGTTTAATATGGGGCAGTTTGATGTGCGCTGGTTGCGTGAAAGCACGCCCCCAATACGCCGCTTCTGAGCGAAAAGAAACGCCTCCTTATCGGGAAAATCTTTGCCTCCTATCAGCGCTGATAACGCCAAAACTTTTTTTTGGCCAACTTCACTGTTTTAACCCCGATGGGCCTACCAGCCGTCTGACACTCCGCTAACGTCGTGCTGGCAGCGGTCCCCTGGTGTTTTTTAAAGGCACTAGTCGCGGGCGTTAAATGCACTCTGGTTAAATGTATTCGTATAATGACAATAGCTATTTAATAAAGGTGCATCGATTGATTACTTTATTAGAACAATCATCTAGCGGTCTAATAGGGGCGGTTTGACGTGCGCTGGTTGCGTGAAAGCACGCCCCCAATACGCCGCTTCTGAGCGAAAAGAAACGCCTCC